TCATAGCCCAAATTTTTTTTTTTGATACTTGACAGTGAATATGTTTAATTTCTCAGTAACGTTGGACATTTTAAGATTGAGCTTAATGGGGAATGTCTCAAGTGGCCATTCAAGGAACTGCACATTTTGGCACTTTATGGCCACATTCGCTTCATTTTCAGCCAAAGATGATGTGGCTGCTTGTTTCAAACATGTGTGATGCAGGGACTTTTTACACACACACACACACACACACACACACACACACACACACACACACACAGAGACCTCACTACAACCTCTCTCTCTGAGCGAGTGGGTTCAATGTTTCTGGAGCGTGGAATCCAATCAGACTCTGGTCCAACATGTCAGCCACTGAGCCGCTGTGTGGGAGCATAGACACACGCGCACTAGATTACACACACACACACACACACACACACACACACACACACACACACACACACACAATCATAGTACACGCACCTTCTCCCCCCACACACATGCTCTTGTCATCACATTAGTTCACCAGGTGTGTGAGCAGAAATGCAAGCTAAAGATCACCGACTAGCCCTACACCCACACACAATCATAGTACACGCACCTTCTCCCCCCACACACATGCTCTTGTCATCACATTAGTTCACCAGGTGTGTGAGCAGAAATGCAAGCTAAAGATCACCGACTAGCCCTATCAACCAGAAGTGGAAATAAACTATTTACTTCACAGCAGTGTGTGAAAAATGCTGCATTACATCAGATGCTGAAACATACAAGCTCTACAACCACTTAAAAACAGACACACACCTGGAGGCATTTCAGCACAGTGCAGGCTTAATGGGCCGTACAGTAGACCGGCGACGTGTTCATCTGCTACACTATGAAACATCAATATGCATGCCTTATCTTTCACACGAGAGCATCAATAAAAAAACAAATCCGTGTGGAGTCGGGCATGCCTTGTACTGTCAGATACACACGAGTACTTTCAAACAAATCACCATCTTTATTCATGAGGATTTTTTTTTTTTTAAATTCTAAAAGAGAAACATTTCTGTTCAATTATTCACCAGCTGCAGTCCACTTCATTATGTGTTTTAATCAGGCCGGAGCCACAGTATCCACCGCCTCAAAACAACATTATATTCACATGGAGCTTTCAAATAGTTTCTGCTGGTTGGAGAGCAGCGCTGTTGCATGATGTGTCACTTTAATTCTCAACCGAAAACCTAACCTGGTAAAGCTGGATCTGCACTCACCAAAACAAACAGAAAATGTAATGTACTAGGGGGGAAAAAAAACGCTGTTACATATTTTGATCACTTAACCCTTTGCCCATCCTGTCCAAATATGGTTATTTCTGACTCTGAAAAAAACTATCATAGTGGCCAAAATGTCAACCACAAAGTTTAACCAAAACTAACAAACTAGTGTGTGACATCACACTGGCAACATCCATTATTTCTACATTTTACGTTTTTAATGGATATTCAACCACAAATACTGTATATGGCTGTCTCTATCTGTCTGTGTGCATACACAGCTGCTTGCCTTAGACTAGTCCCTGCTGGACAAAGAGTTCAATTGTCCTTCAGATCAAGGTCAATGAGCTGTGCCCTATCTCCCGGCTCCATCTATTAGCTGTCCGTTGGAGGTTCTGTGGGATGGATGGATAGAAAGCGTCGACCCCGAGTTAACCACAATCAGCTGAAGGTTGGGAAGGTTACTGTCAAGATGTTCTCAGTTACTGATTACTGATTACCTGTTTAAAATTGTAATTGGTAGAATAATCTATTGGATGGATGTGTTTAATTAACCGTCAGGAGCTCAACAATCTGATCCTCTCAACTCTTTCAGAGACATTTCAGAGATTTATCTTCGGTTCAGAGAGGTGGGAAATCTGTGTAGAGCTGCAAGAATTATTAGATACCTCGATCGGGAGAATTAATCACAGACTTTTTATATAATCAATCATTTCATGGTTGTGCCAAGCAGAAATGTTCAACATTTGAAGGTTCAAAGTACTAGTGAATTTGGGACCTTGTCTGTGTCATTTGCGTCAATAATTAAAATGTTTTTGAGTCTTTTGGGCCATTAGTTCATCTCAGAAAATTTGATGAGCGTTTCCCACAATTTTGGGGAAATTGTCTTAACTTAAAAAATGACAAGAAAAAAATTCAAGTTTTAAAAATCACAATTCTGAAAACTTCAACCCTAATGCTAAGTGAGCAATAGTAAGTCATTTAAACATGTACAAATTATTGTTTCGTTACAAATTCCATTATTATATGAAGATAGCAATTTAAGAGTATAATTTGTGTCTTTATTTGCTTTTAAATCTACCTGCCTGATCCTCTAGAAAAGGGTTTCTTGCAATGGGAAAGCACTTTTCTCCTCTCAAATCTGTCAGTGGATTCACCTCCCCATATGCTCCTTTTAGCACCCGTCTTGCCTTCGACCCCCCCCCCCCCTTTGTTTCAAAGGATCGGTTGTAAACTGAGAGACTAGCTCTGATTGATTCTTGTCATGTGTCAGCTTTGACATCACCAGGTGATTGGATGAAGGGATAAAACTTTAAATGTAATTCTTCAAAGCAGCTGAGTTAATCTTGTCCAGAGGTCTTGGAAACAAAGTTCTCAACAGTTTTATCATAAGTTTAACAAAATATTTGTCATTCATACAATCAAAGTAAATGATTGGTTCTTAAATCGAATTGACCAGGAAGTGTTTTACAACTTTTACCTGGATGGGCACTTGAGTAGCTTCGTTAACCTCCACAAGGGCCAGTAGTCCAGCTGTCTTTGAAACACAGTTCTGCAAGCATGCACATCACATTTAAATATTTGGGTTTGTTTTGCACCATTAGAAAAATCAAAAGGTTATGTTCTTGTTTCAACCCCATCCATAGTGCGAGTAACTTCCAGTTTCTTAAAAACTTTTTCTGTATTTCACTGACAAACAATCAAAACGCAAACAAAGTCACTCCTTGGCAAATGTGATTCAGAAGATCAGTGAGAGAGCCTCATATGCCAAAGTTTTAAAAGTAGTATACATACAAATAAAAAAAAAAAGTATTCCACAGCTGTTGCAGAAAAACATTGACTTTCTGAAGTATGACTTTGTAGGATTATAGTGCATTACAGTGCTTAAAGTTTCCATAGAAATCAGAATTCAGTATCTTGTTCTGATGGAAGCGATGTAAAGATTTGAGATGTTTAAGGATCCAGGGATGGGGGGAAAAAAAACTAAAGAAGGCAAGACCTCTTCCCAAACCTGTGTAACTCAGGATGCTGTTGAAGAACAAGTTCAATAAACCTTGTGTTCCTGTGAGTTTTAAACCGAGACTTAACCTGTTTTCATCCAGGTGTCACCTGTCAGAAGAACTGCTTTCAACCTACCTGCCTGTTCCTGCAGTAGTGGAAATAAAGCTGCTGAGAGCAAGCTGTCTTTTCACCCCCCCCGCTCGCTATCCCAATGGGAAAACACACTCGCACACTTTTGATCCACACTTTGCTGTTTACACCTCACACAGCCGGCTGACCAAACTTTTCATTAAAATAGTTTCACGGCTTAAGAAAAGATGATAGTCCAACCAAGGATAGATCAACACCCTTAGGGTTCAAGCACAATGTGTTTATAATATCAAGATAAAAAAAGAGGCTCTCGCTGTTCTTACAAAAAGTATCAGACTAATCACTTTATAACTTTGTTAAAGTTGTTTTTTTTCCACTAACACCTAGCGTGACCCCGAACCACCTGAGCGTGTGAGCTGTGATGCTGCTGCTGTTGTTTATTTGCTCGTGTTAATTAAATTACAGAGATCTTAGCGGGGATGATTAGCATGATAGCGGTAATAGCTAGCAGGGAATCCAATAGTCTGTTACCATAATGAGTCCCTTTGGCGCTCTCTGTGTGGGAAGGTAAAAGAGAGAGAGAGAGAGGAGCGGCAGCGTCTGTCGCGCAGAGAGGAGAGTTACATCAAAGGAGAGAGTCGCTTTTGTAGCAGAATACATTATTCAAATTGATCCGTCCGACTCGGCCTGAAGTAGATGATGCCACTGTTGGGATGTTGCACGCAGGAACAACACAGCTACACCCTCACCGGTGAATGAAGAGATCAAATGTTATTCATCGTAGTGTTTGTGACAATATTCCAGCCTTGACTTAATATAGACACACAGAGGATATTAGACACATAAAACATTTCCACACATAAACACATACAGTGAGGGGGGGGGGGGGCTTCTGCACTGCGGCGGGCACCTGCAGCTGTGCCCTCGCTCAGCTCATCACACACCTGCTTCCACATCCTGCACTTCTGCTGCACATATGCTCTCAACCTTGTGCTGAATATTGAACAATGCAATGTTTGTCAGTGTGTTTTAGTGTAATTGTTTTGTGGATGCAGTTGAAATTTATTTTATTCAATATAGCACAACTCTGAACTCTGGCTCAATGTCCTTTGTTAGTTTAAAGCATTGATCGTCCCTCTGCGCCATGAACAGTCACAAGTGTGAATTTCACTCGGACTTTCTTTATCCACGAGCAGCGAGGTCCAGACATTAACCTTTGCTCATTCACTGAAAATGTAAACAGCAACACATTCTTTCTCTTTGTCTCTTGAAGGTTTGAGATGAAATACATGCAGACATAAGTTTGATCCATCCTCTGATACACATTTTTAAAGGGTTTCATATTATTTAATTGAAGGGGGGGTTCTTAGAATTGGCCACCACTCAAGTTTGGTGATCGCAAAAGCTATCAGTAAGGAGGCTCAGGGGGTGTAGCGGTTAGGTCGGGCATGAGTACAGAGGCTATAGTCCTACAAGCATATGGCCCGGCAGGTTCCTGCAGCTACTTTCCTGCAAGTCATTCCAACTCTCTGTCCCTGATTCCTACTCTTTCCACTGTCCCATCTAAATAAATGAAAAAGCCCCAAAATACAGCTTAAAAAAAGGAAAATCAATGCTGCAATGAGACAACAGAAACTCAAAATCCACTTTTCCCATTTTTTCCCGCAGACGCCAAGGCCTGCCCCTCAAAAGACTTCCAGTGCCGAAATGGGAAGTGTTTGGCGCCCATCTACGTCTGCGATGGCGACGACGACTGCGGAGATGCCAGTGACGAGGAGAAGTGCTCGGCTCCCACCTGCGGCCAGCACGAGTTCCGCTGCAACGACTCGGAGTGCATCCCTGCACTGTGGAGCTGCGACGGAGACCCCGACTGCAAGGACAAGTCCGACGAGTCGATGGAGCGCTGCAGCCGGAGGACGGAGCCTCAGAAACCTCGCTGTCCAGTGGGAGAGTTCCAGTGTGGGAGCGGGGAGTGTGTCCACATGAACTGGAAGTGTGACGGAGACGCAGACTGCAAGGATAAATCCGATGAAGCAAACTGTCGTAAGTTAACTGTGGACTCGTGGTGTGGTGGGACTGGGTGTTTAAATGAGTGGGTAAATGACTGTGTTGCTACATAGCCCTGTGAAGCACAGTGTTGTTCTCACACCTGTAAGGTTGTTAAATGATTATGAACCCCCACTTCAATGAGAATTTTTCAAACATGGGGCTTTAGTCAAAAAAGACAGAAAGAAATTGACAAATACAAAATCTTTTCATTTGCAAAAAAATAACTTTATTTGTCAAAAGAAATGTGTCATTTGGTTTTTTTTTACTCAAAAAATGAGTAAAAAAAAACATGCACAGAAAGGTAGCACTAAAGCTTTGGTAAAATATTTTTCTTTTAAACCTCAAAATTAACAAATGAATACTTGGAATGATGCCAAACCTGCAGAATAACATGCAATCCAACATATTTCTTTGTTGTTACCCTGGATGTCGACATTCAGAGAGGGACAACAGAACAGCTAAACATCACTGGATAATGCTTGGCTTTCAAAATAAAAGCAAAGATCCAAAAGTCATAACAACTTCATGGCATGCTTAGGCAACCTTTATACCACTGCCTCTTTGTCAAAGTGTGTTTGAGTTTCTAGAAGAGCGCTATACAAAACCAATTTATTATTATTATTACTACTTGTAGAGTGACCATAAGCCACTTACAAGTGAAAAATTGCAGCTTCTGTCTATGGCAGTGGCAGGGCCCGATAGGATCCATGGTGTTAATTATAATGAAGAGAAAATATTATTAAAATGCTCTTATGGTCTTAACTTTGTTGTCAGGAGCCCATTGATTAAAAAAAGAAAAGAAAATAAGAGTCATGAAACTGACATTTTCTTTATTAAATTCGTAGACTGTGAAGTCCATGACTACATTTTTAGTCCCTTGACGCCACTGCACATGCTCAGAGACACAGCTGCTTATTCCAAATGCATTTATTATTGTTATGGATAAATATGGCTTCCAATTGCACTTTGATGCTTTTTTTATGTCATGTATCTGTTTTATTGCACAGAGGCTACACACAGTACTTGTTAGGAGGATCATCACTGGTAGTTTCATTGACTTTTATGATTGTGATAAAAAAGTTAATAGCAGCTTAGACTTTAATTAAGGTGATGAAGGGAAATCAACAAAAGTGCATGTTTTGTTGTGCAGGAATGTCCTGTTGTGAATTTTTCAAACACTACATGATAAAACGTGTTGTGCCACCAAGTGATTGAAGGAAGATCAATGCTAACTTCATCACGTTGATCCAAGAGCGTTGTTGCCATGCAACCACTTGATCTGACGAGGCACAAGGAGAACCTCTGAGTGTGTTCGACCATATGTGTTTGTTTGTGAGAGTGTGTGTGTGTGTGTGTTTCTGCACGTGTGGGAGGTGAAGGTCCTTCATCAAGTCAGACCCCCATCTGGTCACCTCTTCACACTCCCACACACCACTCGGGGAGATGACAGTAGCCTCACACGTACAACATGATACAAGCACGGTGCACCGCCACACACACACACACACACACACACACACACACACACACACACACACATAAACACACACACACACATGCTCTCAGAAGACAACAGACAAGTGTACACTTGGAGATCAGACCGCAGCAAGTTTTTAAGCACATGAAAAATGCAGGAGCTGAAATAATGATACCATCATTGAGGGTTTGTGCGGTACATTTAAAACTGCAATAGTGAGTAAACATACATACAGCAGCATTAAGAGCTGTTTTAATGTATAGACAAGTGCACATACCCTATAATAATACTGTTCTCTATAATAATACTCCCTCCAGCGCGTCTGTTTCACAAAGGTCATTACTGTTTAGCTTCTTTGTAGGCATGCACTGTATGATGGGATAGTTTTTGAGGGGAATATCGCATGACAACAAGGTTAAAAACAATTTGCAAATCAGCGTCACAGTCATAGAATTCAAGCAAGAAGCCTCACTTAAGAGCTTCCTGGTTATTATTAAATCTTTAGTCCGCTATGTGCACTTCACCTTTCTTGAGGGATGTGGAAAAAAGTGCTCTTTGTTTTCCACAACACAATCAATTCATGGTTTCCTGTAATGCAGAAACTTTGTAATGTAAGTCCTGGGTTATAATAGAACAAAGAGGGGATTTGGTTTTAAAGAATCACATCTACCGAACCGTATCTGTCTAGGTGAGGAAATCCTGAATATCAATACAACATCAATTATTAACTTAAATGTAATTTACCTATTGTCATTTTCAGAGCTTTACAGTTAAGTTGTGTTTCCTATTAAAACATGCATGATTCAAAGCAAACTGTAGGTCTTCCTCAAAATGCAAAAAACAACCACTGGATTCATCTGTCTTAATAATCTTGTCCGCTGTTTGACAGAAATGATGAGACAGCAGCTGAGTGGATTATATAGATTTGATGTCGGGGGGGGTTGTGTGTGCTCATCATGGTGTGAATAAAAGTAGGAGGTTGGAGCTCGGTGTCGAACAAGATGTAATAGTTTCAGATGTCTGTGTTATGTAAATGAGGGAGCCGAGCTCACCTGAGGGAGGTGCAACATTTCAATGTAAATGAGTAATGTGAGAATCATCGTCTATCTCCACTTTGCTCTCTCCTCCTCCTCATTTCCAACAAGCTTTGCTGATTCGCACAAACCCGTCCCCTCGGTTTATTATCCCTCCTCTTATTTGAAGCATCTGTCTCCGGGATCTTTGTGTTGCTTCACAGACGTGCTGAGACAAGTGACTGTGAGGAGGATGACAGGAGGTAAAGGGGAATGAGAAATGGTCAAATGGTATCTACAGCCGTTTGTCTCCTTTTCCCTCCGCCAGCTTTTCTGCAGATGGCAATCTTTTAAAATGACTCTTCATCCTAAGGATGCATCATGATTAGCTGAGCTCAGACCCCAATCACTTGGCTGAAAGAATCACTTCATTAACTCAGGTGAAGGGTTATTTCTTCCACGTTTAGCTGAATTTAGCGGTAACGTGTGTGTCTTTATTTCTGTTTCAGCACTTGAAGTTCATGTGTTAATGCAAATGTGGACATATTTTTGCTGCACACTTTTCAGTTAAATGTTTTTCACCCTACAGTAGCCTAGTTGGAACATTCATGGATATGTGATACTGATTGTGTGCCCTCAACAACCATTGATCATGTCTGCCTCCGTTCCCTCTGCAGAGCGGGTCCAAAACACAACACATGAATAATTAAACAGCCAGTTAAAAAGACGAATGAGTTAAATAAACCTGCCCCTCCGTCGTTAGAGCGAGCACAAACTAAATACCAATACACACCCGCACAAACACACACACACACACACACACAAACACTCAATAGGTCACTGGATGCAGGTTTTTCCTCAGACAGTGAATGAATACCTGCCTGGTTTTCATTTCCACTGGGGCTTTTTTCTGTGTAGGTAAGACTTGTGTATGACTGATTACTGTTGGATTGAACCTAACTCAAAGTTGATGAAAGAAGAAAAAAATCGCACACTGTACACACACACACACACACACACACACACACGTGCATCTTCATGGAGGAGAAAAAAGATTGTCTTAATATTGTGTTTCTGGGTTTATGTGTGTTATCTTCAACTCAGCGGGGATGCAGCTTAATCAGAAAGAAAAGGGCGTCGAGACTTAGTAGTTCGGATGTAATACCAGTATCAGAACTTTATTATTAAGTATATCAAAGTAAAACTATTTGAATGCCTAAATGCCTGAAATGCAATATTGCTATGTAGCCTATGCTAGTTAATGTATCAATCATAAAACATCAATTCTTATCCCACACAAAAAAGACGTCGTGTTTCTGCTTCTTCAAAACAAAAGCTTTCAAAGCAATAAAATATTTATGGCAGAAATAAGCAACTTGTATTTTAGAGCGCCAGAGGATTAATGCTAGCTAAGAATGTCACGTAAGCCAAGCTAGCAAAATGTTAGCAACCGTTGTTTTTAAAGCACTCAAGTCTTTTTATAATTAAAGTGAATGAAGTTAAAAGTATAGAAAACACTAATTAAAGCATTGTCATGTTAAAAAAATCTGACAAAAATATCAGGACTGGAGTTTCTGTACGCGAAGCCGCAGCTAACATTAGCATTGTTTGGTCGTAGATGCTCGTCTTGTTTTTTCATGTTAGACTTCCTTCAGTGTACTGAGCCAGGCCACAAAGCAATGATAGTGGTCACATCATATCATCATTCAGGGTTAGCAGTAGCTAGCCTAAAGCTGTCAAATAAAAAGGATACTTATTTATCACTCTAGTGTCACAGCAGTTTTCAATAAGCCCAAATATAGTTTTAGGACTTGAGGCAGGAACAAATTACATCAGAATGTCGCCATTAAGGAATATTTAGAGAGATAAATACATTTATATTCTCCCATCATTTATGTGACGTGTCTTATGTAACTGTGTCTGTGTGCAATGAGATTCAGGGACCAAAAAATGACGTTTTTTTCACTTGTTTCTGAACTGTTTGTGTCCTGCAGCCCTGCTCACCTGCCGACCCGACGAGTTCCAGTGTGGAGATGGATCCTGTATCCACGGCACCAAGCAGTGTAACAAAGTGCACGACTGTCCAGACTACAGTGATGAAGCCGGCTGTGTCAACGGTGAGCGGCAGACGATTACTGGCTACTACTCTATCTGCAACGTTATCATTTCAAATCGCTTACTGCATCCTTTCAAATGGGGCTATGTCATCCGATTGCAGTAGGATACATTTCCATTATTTGAATTTAAAGAACACATTTCTGTTTGCATGTTCGAGTCCTTTGTGATACTTGATTTAGCCGAACAAATCTGTCAAATAACGACTTAAATACCTCAAAGCACATTCACATGCTAAGTACCAGGGTGTAGCACAGATGGCAGACGTTGGCTGAACGAGTGAAATCAGCCCCATGAGAGTGTTTAAAGAAGGTAATTCTGTATTGGCAGAGATTCAAAACTTAGAGGAATGGGAGTTTTGAACATCGACAGTGTCAAAGCATTTAAAGAGTCTCAGTATGTTTCTGAGCTAAATCGCTTTCTTATGACTACAAAAAGTGTTCACGGTGGAATGAGGAAGGATGGGAGCGTGATTTTTATTTGCAAACAGGTTACAGTAAATGTTAACTTCTCCACACACACGTCTTCTGAAAAGCTCAAGGTCGTCATCAGACGCTCAGCCTGGCAGCAAATTTATCTTGAATCCAGTGTTTTCTGAAGTGCAGCTGTGAACCTGAAATGGATTTTTTACTCTTCACAGTTTCCTCAAAGGGCACAGTGGAGTCCTGCATGTACCTGTACTTGGCAGTTGTTTGTTTTTTATAGTAAAAAAAGAAAAAAGGTTCACAAGCCATAGCCAAATATGTGCACATAAAATCAACTGTTTATTGTTAATATTTTGAGTGGTCTACTAAGCAAAAGTCACACCCATTAAATCTGTGATCATAAAACCACTTTAGGGAGATTTTACAGTTTCCAGTTCTCACTAAGGAAAGGTCAAATCCCCCAAAATGTCTGCAAATCTTATCTGTTTCTTTCAGACGTTACATAAAATTACCTAGTTATGAATCAAGATTACAAACCAAGGCGTCGTTTTTTCCAAGGAATGGTGCAATTTCTAAGAGTGTTTTCCCCTCAGTGAACTTTATAATTTAAATTACAATAACAATTAATTAATTTCCTTTGACTCAAACTACTTCAAACATTGACTGTCTTGCTTGTAAAGGCTTCACATGGGTTACTGTATACCTGCAAGATATTTTTATAAATGTGCCCCGATACATTTTTTTTGTGCCACAGTTACAAAGTGCGACGGGCCGAGAAAGTTCCGCTGTAAGAACGGGGAGTGTATTGACAGCATCAAGGTGTGTGACAACGTCAAAGACTGCAAAGACTGGTCTGATGAACCAATGAAGGAGTGCGGTAAGATCATTTCTTTCTGTTCATGTTCACTCGTAAAACACCCACATACCCTGATTCTCATTAGCTCTGTCACCACCTCAGGCATACATAAATGCAGTAACATGCTTGTGTAATCGCACTGATGCACACAGACACACACACACACACACACACATACCGAGGCGTCATCAGCTGCCTCTAATGTGGGTGGTCAGTCGTCTTCATAAATGGAGCTTCATTTGATCAAGGCAGGAGAAATCAGGACATTTCTCTGCTGCCTTGTAATGATCAAAGAGATGAGTGTTTCTCCCCCTAGTGCGGACTTAGCTTTGAAAAACGTGCTCTGACTACATTACCCATAAGTAACCATATAGATTATCTGCACACCATAGATAATTACCACTAAACAAGGTTCAGTCACGCATCTAACATGACAAGTAGTGCAATCAGATGAGAATAACATACCTGTTAATACAATTTAGAGTAAATGTAGCTAATGAATTTTGTGCAATTGAAGTACTAAGAAGCACTGTGCAATGGTACTCATGAAGAGGTACAATCAAATGTAAGGTTGCTATGAAGTCGAGGTTCTCAAGCCAGTATAATTATTAGTATAAGTATAATTTAATGTAGGCGTGCTGCCCTCCCACTTAGTTCTGCTCTCAAAGCACATGGATATAAACCTTAATGAGGCCGCCCTGTAACCATCACATTGATGTTCAACCCGATGTTCAGCGTCTCAAGGCAAAACCTGCTCCTCTTCTTTTAGCTGTGACTTTAATTATCTGCAACATGGAGATCATGATGGATCTTTAACCAAAGCTCGGCCAAAGTGAAGTCTTTATTTGTCCCGAGTTTAACCAAATGTTTTAAATGTTATTTCTATGTTTGCATTGGAAGTCCTGCATTTTAATAACTGCAATGTTTTTTGGTATGCATGACTATTTGTGGTGCATTATGCCTTCGGGTGGGATTTGCAGGATAAGAAACAACAATAACCATACTGTAATATCACAAGTGCAGGACTAATGTATTTTTTCACTGCTGTTGGGTGTCAATTTGAGTGATTCCTTTATAACTCATCGATCTGAGAGTCTTCATAATAAGAGGTGTGGCTGACCTGACTGATGGGCGGGTCTGTGGTAACTGTTTCACCAGGAGGTTTAAGGCCCGCCCCCGCTCTAGCTCTTTACCTGTTGCTAGGTTGATTGAAAGTTCATCATCGATGGACTTCAAAATCTGCTCCAGAAACAAATTAGTGACGTCACTGAGACTTAGCCCATGTATGTACAGGTCATGGGTGTTACAGTGTTGTATCACTGGATTACAAACTTATTGGAGATGTCGTGCCTCAGCCAAACCTTAGAAAGTGATTGCAGACAAAAGAAGTGTACAAATATCAAAGAGTGTCTTAGCGTGTTCATGCTTAAAAAATAAGGCCCGCTGGCAGGTGCGCTTGCATTAAGCGTTTGGACACTGAGACGAAAAAGGCTGCAAAAAAAAACGCCGCTCCTGTACTTTTTACTGTATGTGTTATATTTCAGATCTTTTCATTTATGATCAGACATGGAGACAAGTGGTTAGCCTACAAGACACAATCTGTAGGCGGCAAAACTACGGGGAATATCATACATTTGGAAAAGAGCGCCAGTTTACGTCAACAGCGCCTTTCTGAAAAGTAATGCAAAAAAAGTAAAAGTAGTAACGCTCTCTACTCTCTTTACGATTTAAAAAAATGCTTGGTGGACACAGGGCCTAATAAATCACTTGAAAAGGTTCTGTTATAAACTTATAGAATGTCGTTGCAATTCTTTAAATTTCACCATTATTTTTGGTAAAACGGCATGCTAAGACTCTTTTCCTTATTAATCTGTCGGTCTATCTCGATTTTTACTCTTGAAGTCTCTTCCTCTCCTCTTTATTTCCCTCACCGGCTCGCAGCAGCACCTGTAGCCTTGCAGCTTAAATCTTTAATGCAAACCGGTAATGAAGTACCAGCTTTAGCTTCATGCAGCGATGTCTCTCTGCCCCCTGGGGAAGCGGGAGAGGAGTTGAAAAGACAAAGGAGTGAATGAAAACTGATACAAAAAGGAAAGGACTTAGAGGCAGCAACGCCTGAGAGGGAGTCCAATCTGTTCGGCTAAAAAAAAAAAAGAGGAGGAAATGGAGAGAATGTGGTTGGAGGGATGAGTCTGTAACAATGGGTATCATAGTAGAGTGACACCTGGTGCACACAGCCAAGCTCCCTGTTGGAGAGTGGAATGGATCCAGGTGCATTTTGGCAAAAACTCTGCCTGAAGGACACACACACACACACACACACACACACACACACACACAGCAGGCTTTTGAATATACTGTACACACTTTCAAACATACCTGTGTTTAATTTTTCATTTCCCATTTTATTTTGCTTTTGAGCCAAATTACTTTTCTTTTTAAATCCACATTTTACGTGTTTTAAAAGAGGACCAATTTATCTTAACATGTCGGATCATTAAAAACAATGCACATATTTTCAGTGTTTTTACTTTCTATTCAAGGCTTACGTATCTATATCTCTATCTCTCTCTCTGCTGCAGGCGTGAATGAGTGTGCAGACAACAACGGCGGCTGCTCCCACATCTGCAGGGACCGGAGAATCGGTTACGAGTGTGACTGTCCCTCCGGGTACAAACTGCTGGACAAAAAGACCTGTGGAGGTAAAGAAAAAAAGTCCTGTGTCCAAACTACAGTGGAGATGTAGAGAGCCATGACTAATGTACAATCACACCTTGTCTGGGCCTGGCCAGGTTGAGCTGCTATGATCTATAGGGCCGTTTGTGTCCCTTTGGTCCACTGCTGTATTTCCATTTTTAGAGGTTACAGGAGCTCAATTAGAGTTTTAAACAAGATCTTACAAACCAAGCTAGGGGCAAAAGTTCTGGTGAAAGTTCTTTTTTTTTACCTGCAGTTCATACATTTTGAGGCAGTATTTTCCTATTGACTCTAAGTGGATAAACTGCTGCCAAAAACCACTTGTTTTAACACTCAGAAGAAGTGTATTGTATCTTCTTTATTCAACGCAGGTCAAGGTACACAGCTTTTATGACAAATCTAAATGTCATACTTTTACAAAGCACAGGTCAGTACTTTTTTACTAGTGTTGTAATCAGGACTAAACTAACCGAGACCAGAGGCACCACTAAGACATTTAGGGATCAAGACCGAGACAAGACCAACACCATGAAATATGACTGAAAAATCATCAACTTGTGCGCAGCGGGCATGTCACTCACTTAGACCTTAACACCGTAACCAGAGGCGATCAAAACCAAACTACAAATGAAATTGAAGTTATGGGTTCTTGTAGAAAGGGGCGTTTCCTTCTTATCACAGAAATAATGTGGAAAGATAGCCTCTCAGTGGTGGCCTTGACCGGTCTCGATTTAAAATCCGGAGTCTGCCCAGTCTGAGGCCGAGACAAAACGGAGTAGGAATACTTTTGATTCTGAGACGAGAGAAGCGCTGTAAGCCACCCTCCCATCCACATCGCAACAGATCTCAACCAACATGGATGTGAGAAGTGTGGACGTGATATTTATTAATATACTGTCAAGTGTCCAGGGTCCAGTCCAGCTAAGCATTGTACTCCGACACAAAAATGAAATACATCTTTTCAAATACTTCAAAATTCTTCTTGAATAATTAAAAGCAACAAAAGCTTCAATGCTGAGCCACTGAGATTGAATTTAAGGAGAAAGAGAAGAAGATTTATTAATGCCTCGAGGAGAAATTCAGTTTTACAATCTTTTGTTGAGTCATGCAACACACACATGAAATACACACACATGCACAAACAGGATCCTTTAGACATGCACTGTGAGGGGGCTGCACACATGAAAGAGCAGTCTGAGCAGTTGGGGGTTCAGTGTCTTGCTCAAGGGCACATCGACAGCGCTCAGGGAGTGAAGAGGCACATTTCCACCAACCAATCCAATTTCCAGACTAAGTCCGCCCCTGGACTTAAACCGGCGACCTTCTGGTTCCCAACAGACTGAGCTACTGCTGACTACTGTTTTCTCACATATACATCATGATTTAACAAGCTGTAGTGTTTGTCTTTTCTCACGAGATCATGTGTCCCGTCTCTAGAAGCCCCTCCGGTTACTCTGTATATTAGTCATACAAACTCGATCTGAAGAGTCAGAGCATCTGAAGTGAATATTTTTTTGAGAGACGTTCTTCACGCTCTTCAAGACAGAGCTGACAATGTGTGTGTCCCTGTTGTTTTACTTTTGATTTGTGACGTCTTCACGCCGTGTTTCTCTCCACAGACATAGATGAATGTGAGAACCCGGACGCCTGCAGTCAGATCTGCATCAACTACAAGGGAGATTATAAGTGTGAGTGCTACGAAGGCTACGAGATGGATCCGGCGTCTAAGACCTGCAAGGCCGTGGGTGAGCCATTTATCACACACACACACACATTTGTACGGCAAGAGACACGTCATAGATTAATGCCCTCACTAAAATATGGTCATATAGCCGGACATTCACTCTGCAACAGCAAAGAATCTGCTGGTGTTTCCACTGGTATTTGGAGTATCTTTAAATATTTAATAACCATATGTGAGCAAAAAAAGCTGAAATGGTTCCAAGCCAAAGCCAGTATTTTACTGCATGTTAGGTAATATAATGACATCATCAAAGATCAGACATGACGAGGCATAAAAAGGAAGCTGACTTTTTCATTTGCAATAATAATGAAGTCTGTAGCGGTCATGTTTTTTATTGTAGATTGATTTAAATCAGGAAAAAACAAAAATGAACACACCCTCAGAGGCCGCCTGCAGGAGCTTAGTTTTTAAAGAGCTTAAGAAATCACAAGTCGAGACCAACCTTTTATACACACTCCAATTACTCTCCCATTCCAGCACCCCTAGCTACCGCTTCACATCCCACTCTGTTCTGACACCGGGGGACTCTGTTAAACCAGAGGCTTGCTTTGTATGCAGGCCCTGCTCAGCAATCTGTGCAAAGATAAATATTTGCCACCTTTTTTTCTGCAGCCCCCTCACTAATGAAAAGTTTGCAGCCAGCTGCATCTGCTGTCCCTGCAGAGCGCCAGGGGAAGGCTGGCCTGGCCACTCGCTATAGGACACAGGACAGGGTCTGTAGCCCTCGTTGGCTTGGGTAAACACTCCAAGCAGTGCTTATGATTGAAAATAAAATCTTTTTCTGCAAAGCTTCAGCAGGCAAAGGTTGTTATTGAAAAATAGTCCGCTTGAATGCCGAAGTGAAGATGTTGGTTGCTTGCTGCACCTCAGATTGCCTTATGAAAAGCTTCCATGTGAATTCTGGGTGTTTCTAATCAGTCCTCTCCTCTTCATCGGCCTGTCACGGCTGGTTTCTACAGATAGCAACGCTGTCTGTCACAATATTTTAAACACCTGCTGATAAGGCTTTCTGCTGACAAATTAGAGCTTCAGATGTTTGCTGATGTTTTGATTAAAGGGGATATACTGTATATGTCTAGGGCTGCTGAAAACAGCATTTTGGTGCTGTTTGTTAGGCAAACCAGTTCGTCTTTTACATTTTAAAACCTAGTGGGATACCTGCAAACTACTTCTCCTTGATGTTTGAATTTATTGCAACTTCCCTCTCAAAGGAAAGGGTCCTTTAATGGGTCAAGTTAGGTTTCTTTCTTGATTGGGGAAAAAAATAAAAAAGGGAGAGGAGAAAAGAATGTTACTTGTGATTATCACCACTGGTCTGAGGTTGAGTCATTACAGGGTGAACTGGTCTGGTAATGAGGGAGCTTAAATCAGAAGCAGGTCCTCACTCTTTAAGCTAAGTGGCATGAAAAGCGTCATTGATTGCTTCATTTCTCTCCGTGTGAGTCTTTATTGCTGTTAGGCCGAGCAAACAGTGTTTGTCAGAGGGCAATGCATTTATTAGAAGGGAGGACAGGCATGCAGAGGAGAAGAAGACGAATGGATCATCGGATGCACTGGATGAATATCTCTGCTGCTCACTGAAGTAATGCTAAGATGCATGTGTGCCGTTCGATGGTGGCACATGTCAGAGCGTGTCAAGGGCAGCGGAAAGAATCGCAGGCTTTTGTTTATGTTAAGTTTTCTTATTCAGAGGCACACAAGGACAGGAGCGTAAAAAGCAGACGATATGTGCTTCGTGGAGCTGACATAACGTGGACTTAATGAGGCTGCATTTGCCAACAAACTCATTCCTAGACACACTTATAGAATCAACACTTAATCACATGAATGCATGGTCTCAGACATCAGCATACACTTTGGATTCAGGCCACACAACTGCACATACACCAGGATAGTCACCGAGCTGCCTGGAGGAATCTCATGTTCTGTGATGAGATTTGACATGCACCGATCTCATCTGCACGTATGGAAGTTCATGCTGCAAAATGCCACACTGTTGTTTGTGCTTTCAACTTAGAGGCGCAGGGAAGAACAAAAGACTGACTACATGATAGAAGTGGATATAGCCATAACTCCTTGAAGCCTTAAGTTTTTTTTTTTGCCGGCTGCTATCATGTTTTTTTGTTTGTTTTTGTTTAGTTTTTAGTGAATTATATATTACGTCACTATCCTGGTTAACATAACAAGTCGCTATCGCAGCAACGTGTTGATCAACTGGCATGCCTAAAGTGCATTGCCTTCTTTGTTGATTATTTTACTCTAATAGGGACCATCATTTTAAAAAAAAAGGAACAAACAATTTAAATGGGACTTGAAACCGGTGATTGAGAACATAAACTTATCATTAAAAATGTTTATTGATGTAATTAATCAACTTCAAAGTAGGGTCATTATCCCCTCTGGCTTCATACAATCAGACATTTTTTTGAAACCAGTGCAGTCACCCCCCTGCTGGCCATTAGAAAGAACGCAGGCTCAAGATACTTCGACTTCACTGCCAAAGAGGTTATGGCTTTGTACCAAACCACAAACTAACATTCTGGCTGCTACATAATCAAACATTTTTTTCTGCATACTACCAGGCAGAGTAATATGCCATATTCAACATATAACACATGTCTTGCACGTCCTCACACATGACTTCATTGATCACGTATTCCAGGCCTCAACTACGTTGAAAAAGTGAGCACCAGGCTAGCACGCCTTTTGGGCCGTATATAAAATGTGACAACAATGTGAATAGATTCAGAATTTGCAGAGCCACATAGTTCACTATGTGAATTCTATTTGACCACATGTTAAAATAATTACACTTTTATTCCTATGCCGCCTTTTAACTGGCTGGCGAGCACCGCTGAATAGCTGCAGTGCATTGTGGGGCGGTTGTGTATGACAAGTGAGCTCCTGTATGATACTTAAAAATGACAGCAAGTATATATCAGGGCATTTCTATTTAAAATTGCATACTATTAATTCAGAGCATATACATATTGTGAGTCACACTTAGTATAAATAGTATAAATAGCTCATGTCTATTTCTTTTATACTCTCTTTGAGTAAAACGCATTGTCATGACCCTAAATTGACATTTAATGCCGTGTATAGCTTTTTCATGCATTTCCTTCCTGTGCTGGTTTCACTGAGCACAAGCTGAACGTTTGCAGATTAATATGAGAGGAGTAATTCACAGCTGAGTTCTAACCTCTGCTCTCTCATTTTCCAATGCTCAAAGAATGCATTATAGTGTAATCCTAACACACCGCTTCAGGCTCTGCAGATTCATTTCAGAGTAATATGCAAGTGTTACCCTTGCAATGCTAATTAAAAGTAAAGTCCCAGGTTGGAGTCTTAATGCACTCACTCTTTTTAAGCTGCTGTTGTGTCTATGCGTATGTGTGTGCATGTTTGTATAAGTACATGGCAGCGTCCCCTGAAGAACTCCTCGCTCTACACTAATTGCATTCATTGTTTTGTGTGTTTACACCTTTATGGGTGTGATGCCACTCACTGAGTCGTCAACTCAACTTATAATTATTAGTCAGAGAGAGGGAGGGAGTGTGGGAGTTGACTGTTTATATGAAAGGAAAGGGGGTTAGTTATAACGTCAGTGCATTCAGGCAGCAGGTCCTCCAACATTTCTTGATCAGTTCTCAGGACATCTGCTATTTATAAATCAGAGTGGATGCAAAGTAAAATGATTAAAGAAGTAGGGAGAAGATGCCTTTTTATGGTGTTATCCCTCTTGATCATTGAGGTAAGAGTCAGAATTTCGTTTAGAAAATAGCATCGCAAGTGTCAAAGTATTTATCATTTAATTATCATGACACATACTTACGATATATATTAAACTGGATTCATACTGTAACCACTTACAAGTTTATCACGCAATCAAAGCTAACTCCTTGTAATCTTTCCACTTTTGTACATAATGAAGGAAGAGTAAGACCATTTACAGGGTTACTACCAAGCAGTAACCTCCAGTGTTAAAAAAAGGAAGCCAATTTGAAAGTGCAAAAACCTGAAGTTCCTCGACTGTCCACTTGAGGCTGGCTACAAAAACCAAGGAATCCCCATTCGAGCCCACTTGACGATGCCCTTAACCACAGCAGAGATAAACGTGTTTAAGGCCTGGTACTAAAACAGTTTGGGTGTCACTAGCTGATGAGATCAGCGTTTTGCATACGTTTGTTTGATTAGAGGCATGACTGGTTTGATTGACAGGTGGGCGTGAGGCTTAAAGCCCGCCTCAGTGTCTTTATCAGATACTAGATTGATGAAAAGCTTAGATTGAGTCAGCATTTCCACTAGGGCGACCTCTATTGTTTGGTTTCAACATTCCCCTTCAGAAACCAACGGGTGACGTCACTGAGACAACGTCCATGTTTTATACAGTCTTAGGTTACTACACTATACCGAATAACCGCCATGCTGTAAACTCCACTGTTGCTAAACTCAGTGAAAATGCTCTGCTATCCATCTTTCATGAGCATAAACTATAGAAGAGGAAATGTACTCTTTTGAGCACAACTTGCAAACATTAGCCTTATAGTTAATTTAAAACCTTGGCTCCAATTCAGCACAAGTGGTTTGGAGATGTGAATGCTTTAAGGTTGTCCAGCAAAAGTTCATCAAATTAGGAGACAGGAAAGTGGAATAGGATGAAAAACATAACATAGCGTAACAGTAAGGGATATATAACAGGTACACACACAGAAACTAGTTGATGAAAGCAGGAAACGCTGTCACGGCGATGCAGAGGAAATGTACCGACTGCCTGCGGACCAAACTTTTCTTGTTTCCTTTTCTAAACTTCTCTCTTGTTTTCTTTGTTGCTCCTTATCCTCTCTCTCTCTCATATACAGTACACTACAGGCTTCATCACAGTGCCGAGAGCAGTTTGTACCAAACCTGACAGTTTGAGCACACACACTTTTCAAAGTAGCTTCAAAAGTAGCGGTCACATTTTGCCCACTGTCAGAAGATTTTTGCCCTGGGACCTAAGATGTTGTTGAGCACTGTCAAACCAACGTCTAAGAAGTTCCTCCTGCAGTTTTGGAGTTTACAAACATTTGCAATACCGAGGCAGCTTTTGTTTACCCGCTGACTCATAATATTTTAAATGACGCACGGGGAGTAAAGCATGCTGTTCTTACAGCCAGTTTAAAGGTTGGTGTACACCAGTACATAAATTTTTCACAACACTGAATTTGATTCTGTTAAAGAAAGTCCCCTATGTTTGATGACCTGGATGGATTTCTGTTTGTTTATAATGATAGCAGGGAGGGAGATAGAGCGGATATGGGCTATCGACATTAACCTTGAAAAAAGAGAGAGAGAGAGAGCGGTACCCTGTGCTGTCTGAGTCCCACGAGAGAAACAGTCTTTTTGTGCTTTAAAGACAATTAAGAGATGATCAGAGTGGGCTGGAACTTTCAGTAGTACCTCCTGCTTTTTCTGTTTCTTTCTATTATTTGTCAATCTCAGGACGAAGTGCAGCTTTTTGCTTGAGAAGTTGTCTGACTTTTTTACCTGAGTCCATGTCCTTCACTCGTTGCAACCTCTGTCCATCAGCAGAAGCCTCTGTCCTGCAGCTGGTCAAAGTAACAGACAGAGTGCTGCAAGTGGTTAGTTTAACAAGCAGGGGCGGAGCCAGACTTAACCAGGGCTGCCCAAACGGGGCCCCGGCTTAAACAGGGGGGGGGCAGGGCGTGTGTTTGCATTCACAAAAAGGACTATCGTTTACTTACCTTTACTGTCCCTATCAATCAAATCTTCTTTTAACATTTAAGGATCTAATATATGTCATGGTACGATTTTAAGCTTAGAAAGTAAATGTACTTTTAAAAACTTTTAAAAAAACTTTCAAAAAGAAATAAAACTGTATTTGATTTGTTAAAGTCAGGTGAAAAAGTGACATTCTGATTTTAATGGATGTGCAAAAATATCATACTTTCTGCTTTTGCACATTTATATGAAATAATTGTTATGTTTTTTTTGTTATTTCAACCGTTGTTCCTGGACTACCAACTTTGAAATCACTTTTACACGTTTATAAGAAGAAAATGCAACTTTCTCGTGGAGACTTTAGGCTTCCAGCACAGAAATAATGAGGCGTTACATAACCTTCTTTGTCATGAGCAATGCAAGCAGACAGGATGACTTTCTGACATTTGGCCTGAGTTGTTGACAGGAAGTTGATTTCTGTTCCCCCGCTGCAGCAGATTCATCATTATATAGCCGGCGTGTGTGTGTGTGTTAATGAACACAACCGACCCTGACTTATATGTCTGCTTCCAGACGTAACATCATCCTAATAACACCATCCGCTGTGAGTTCATCCACAACAGCTGCAACCAAAAATCCCCCATCATGCTGCAGAATTTCACATCTTTATGTCTGACCTTTACGTCCGTCTTCATGTTATATTATTCCTGTTTAGTTTTGCATTTCTACACAACAATAACATCTGCTTTGTTGGGATGCAAATCAATGCCCCCTGCCTGCAGCACCTGAAAGCATTTCCCCAGCCCGTATTTATCTTTTCACCGCATTATCTTAATTGGCTAACAGGGAAAGAACGGCACTGAACTGGCAGCACAGATTAAAATATATCCAGGGGACCATGTTCTTGTTAAGAAAGCTGACTGTTGCTCTGCTGGGATCTACAAAGGAGCGATTTTATGCACTTTTTGATAACATACCCAGTGCTATGGCCTGAAGGAAAACAGTGACTCAGCTTTTTTTTGGCCATGAGGATGACACATTGCTGTAACAACAATGATAGGGAATAAGAGATGCTGTCTTGAAAAAGTGAGTGAGGAGGATTGATGCAAGAAAGGTTGGATCCATCTCCATCCTTATTATCCATTTTTCTATGTTTTTATTATACATATAGAGTCTTTCTTTGTTTTGCGGCTCTCACTTTGTTTGTGTTTCTCAAGTATCACTCTTTGCACTGAGCATTTTCTTGACATGCAAGCAGAAAAATGCAACTAACTGGCTGTTTCAGTCTATTTCTGCTGTGTGATAGAGTTTTTGATCCGTCCATACCCAGAGTAAACATTTAAGGTTATTATCGTTATCAACACACAGTTTATCTGCAACCACTATCACACAGCCCAACCTGCATTTAGATGTGCCTGTCTCCGTCTTGCTTGATTTCCTTCTCTCTCTCTCTCTCTCTCTCTCTCTCTCTATCTCTCGCTCAGCAGGTGAAATTGATGGTTACAGACCTTGTAGTCAGAGGAAAATGATTGGATCCAAACAGTAGTAGAAATGTTATATTTTCTCCCTGTGCATCAGGCCGTAGTAAACCGGAGACTGAGGGGAAAAAACGAGTGAGGCTTGGTCGGCTCTGTGTGGAAGTTTGAGTTTGTGTGTTTTTGTGTGTCCAACTTTCGTCTCTTTGCGAGGCATTTCTGCTCTACTGGACAGAGCAAAGCAGAAAGTAACATGACAGATACAGTAGAAGTGAAATATGAGGATGAAGGGAACAAGCTAGAAAATGAACTGGGTGTGGGAAAGGAAGCGAAGGAAATGAAGAGACAGAAAAGTCAAAATAGTGCTGTTGAGCCACTTTATAAAACAAGTTGTGGTAGTGCAGTTTGATGAATGGTCAATTAGTAAAGTCCAATAGTTTATAGTTGTAAAAACAGTTTGTGTATGAGAGGAGGAAAACTTGGGTGCCTCCCCCCGTCTGCTGACCTTGTCAACTGCATCGAAATTATTCAAATGCCGGAGTCATGCTCACCTTCAGTTGTTGTTGCAGGTAACTGATGTGCCAGCTAACAGAACAGAATGTGCACACCCGAGGACAAGAACCCAGAAACACACTTTTTGATGCGCTGTGGCTCTAAAAATAGAACAATGTGTCAGGTCTTGTTGGGCTGCTTCATCCACCTGCACATTTTAGCAGCAGTTTTCTTTTTGCAGCAGCAGCAGCACTCAGATAAAACACTTCGAGATAAGACTCCTTAAATGCATCCATCCTTTTCTAGCTTTCACTTTGGACCACCTCACATTATGCAATGGTTATTACTTTGCAGAGTGAATTGTGTGAATAATTAAATGGAAAGCGTTATTGCTGCTTAAAAGTTCTGTCTGTGTGTGTGTGTGTGTGTGTGTGAGTGTGTGTGCAGAGGATATACTTCCTATTAAATGGTTTATTTGGATCATTTATTTATCCCCACATCATCAAACATGCACGCTGTAAGGACCTTAAATAGTACAAATGCAAAACACAACCTCAGTTATCTCACATGATGTTCTCTCCTGGGAATAAGAAGCAACCACTCTCCACCACCCATGAGAGTCAACAGCATGTGTAGGTCTTCAAACAGTCCTGCAGGTTCACCTCTCACATGTTTAGGAAGTCTGCTGCAGGTGTTGCTTTATCCTCAAGGTCAGCGCGTGTTCCCTGTCGCATACACATCAGCACAATTATGATTGACTGCATAACAAATGGCCCGTGTCTTTTTGAGTAATGTGAGAATGACAAATGTGTTCTGGGGTTACAATCGTATTTAAATGACTGTCAAAGGTCTCCACCCACCACCAGAGCGTCGTGGCCTACTTGTCCAATCTCGCTGATGTCAGGTAGTAAGTAATGGCAATGAATGTCTGTCTCACTCCATCAGGAAAGAGTCCGTACCTGATGTTCACCAACCGCCACGAGATCCGTCGCATCGACCTCCTGAAGAGCGAGTACGCTCAGGTGGTTCCGACGCTGAAGAACGCCGTGGCGCTGGATGTCGATGTGTCCACCAACAAGATGTTCTGGTGTGATCTGTACCATCGGAAAATATACAGGTACACACTCTCTCTCTCACACACACACACACACACACACACACACACACACACAATGTAACGGAGGAACAGCTTGAGAATGGAGCCAATCAAAACTGTGTACATAGAGGCGCTGCTTGTCAACAGGCAAGGGGCCCCAGGCAGGTAGAGGACCCTCAACGGCTGATACGCTTTTAAACACAGCAGTGGCTCAAAATTTCTAAAGTTTGCATTGACAGTAGGAAACCCCCCCTAAGTGGCCCCTTCCGTCAGCACTCACTTGCATAATACTGAATGACTGAAATATGCTTGTCTGGCCCTATATATGAGGGAGAGACACTTTAATAACTTAACTTCCGCTTTAAAAAATGTGTTGGTGTCACATCATTATGACATGATGATGAACGCTGTTTGGAGGGGCCCCCTGTAAATATTTCCCTCGGGCCCCAGCAGACTCCAGAATCGCCACGGTGTGTACCCTGAACTGAATCAGGGCATTAATAGTTTGGTTAAAGCGTTCTCCTTTTTTTTTTAAACCATTCTCTTGATCACACTCGTCTATCCATCGTCTAGCCTGTCAGCTTCAACCTGTGACACCTTCTGGTAGTGAGACTGACACACCTGGAGGTGAAGTTTGTGCGCGTTTGTGCGCGTTTGTGTGCGTTTGTGCGCGTTTGTGTGCGTTTGTGCGCGTTTGTGTGCGTCAGTCACACCTGGAGGGCTATTTCATCCGTTTGACAGCTAAAGGTGGAGCTGTTTGTCCTTCACACACGCACAGTATGTGTTTTTGAACATACACTATTACACACACTATGGAGCATTACACAGCACCTGTGTGTGCGTGCATGTGCGTGTGTGCGTATGTGTGTGTGTGTATGTGCGTGTCACCCTGATGGCTGACAGCTAGTGGGAGGGGCCTTCTATCATCTCAGCTGAACCATATGCTCACTCTTAATTTCACTGCCTCAGTAATCGTCACCATTACTCATCTGCATACACACACACACACACACACACACACACACACACACACACACACACACACACACACACACACACACACACTAACTCCCACACAAACTCAGTGAGACACTCAAGGGCTTGTGACAGAGGAAGGACAAATTAACTCATCAGCTAGGATGAACTCGACTTCAGAAGCAGCCATAAACAAACACACACTGACACTTTAAACGGCCTGCAACAGTTTAGTTTGCACATCGGACCCCGAGAACATTCAACAGCACTGACTCGTTTTTAAAAGAGCAACCAAGTGAGTATGTATCATTGAATGAACTTGGAGTCTTTCTACCCTAATATTACTTTAAAAAGACCTCAAAGCTACAATAAGCTTATCACAAAAAAATCTTCTGATTCTGTTTTGCATGAATTTTTTTATTTTGCAGCCATGATGTTTGTTTTTGTTCATAGAAGTCTAAAGAGTGCTGATGGCTGTTTTTTTTTGTTTTTTTTTGTAAATTTTATTTCATTCAAACAAACAATAAAGTTAAGAAAAACAAACAACCATAAAATCCCAAATTTTGAATGAAAAGGAGCAGAAAGAAAACTCATCTTATAATATCTGCCCCTCTTTCACAAAGCATTCATTAAAACAAAACAAACAATTAAAATCTAATTAAATTGAATGCAGGCAAACACAGCCACTGACAGCCCCATTGTAGGTCCTCCTTACTAGTTTTAACCAGTAAGAGATTCTGTTGACCAATCAGAGCCTAGAAGATTGAAAAAATAATTCAACCTCCCAGGGGAAAAAAAATAATTGCCACAGAAATGTTGTCAAGTGTTGATGACAGCAACTCAGATGTCCATGTGGTTGACAACTGAAAAAAATACTGAAACACAAACATCCTGTAAGTATTAAGATAAAGGCCCTAACTACCAGTACAGCATTTTATAAGGAAGTCTTGGAATAAACTCTGCGTTCAATTTAATTGCAGAACATCAAAAAAATGTTGTCATATATTAAATTCTATTATGTTTGCTAGTGTTGACTTTTTTTCTTTTTTTTTTTAATTAAAAGACCTGAAAACCTTTTTTAAATTCAAATAACTAAGCTGTAAGATCTGAATATGAACTTTTTTTTAACCTTTTCTTTTAAAACTTTTAAACCTTTTTTTTAATTGTTTTTATCTTTCATCATATCACTGGAAAATAGAACCTCTTGAAACAGCCTATTTCTTGGTAAAAAATATGAAAAGTTAACATCTCAAAGTAAATCCCCCAACCACCCGCAGCGTTTAATAAGGAGCGTTTTACTGAATGTAAACAGCTGTGTGTATCTTAAAGTGATTCCTCTTCATTGTCCCTCACTGTGACGCCGTGGTTTTCCAGGCTAATTCCTAGTTATTAGCAAGCTCCGGGTCGATGACTTGTTAACTTCCTCCTGTGATGGAGACGTCTGTTGCAAACAAGGATTCAGCCAATTAAAGATGCAATCTGCTGCCGGGCCTGGACTCATCTGTCTCTGTCTAATTCCTCACTCTGCTCTGCCATGCTTTCATCCCAACAACCTGTTCAGTGCCGGCTATGGGAACTAAACTTGGAACTTAAACTTTCCATTCATCTGGGAATAGCTTAGTCAAGTGTTGGAGAATTGGTCATCTTTTATTCATGATATATCTGATGTGATTGGAATTTTGTATTGTGCTATTAAATTATTCTTACACAAATGCATTTAGCAGATGCTTTTATCCAAAGTGACGAACATCAGAGAGTAAGAACAACACAAGGAAGGAACTAGAGCGGAGGAAGCAATGTTAGGAAGTGCAAATGAACAGCTTTAAGCGCGGTCAGACACAGGTGCTGACAGGAAGTGCACTTTTGAGAGAGTACCAATCAGCATCAAAGCAATCCTAAATACTGACATAATCAAAATCATCATCATTATCATCATCGTTTATATCATTAAGCCTGTAGGTATTCAAGAAAGGAATGGGTCTTTAGCTTTTTCTTAAAGGTGCAAAAAGAGACGGATTGTATGGAGTTTGGTATTTTATGATTGGTCACTTTCAACGCCATCACGCCCGCATAACCGACATCTTTCAAAACATACGCGGCTTTCTCAAAAAACGACATGAAGCCCTGTATCCTAAAGCAACCAAATGTGTTGACAACTTATATCCTGAATATACAATTTGAGAGCGTAACACAAATACATTTTATTTTGAAGGAAGGAAATTATAAAATGTTTTCAAATATAGGTCTCAAGTATCATTAAGAGTAAATCTGTTAACTGTACTCTACTTCCCGCAGTTGTCTGTAATTGAAAGGTTCCCAAATAAAGTGCTGTAACACCAGTACCACGAGGGATTTTGTCCACTGCTTCCGTGTTACATCCAAACCGTGGGACACCTGAGAGAGAGAGAGTCTAAGATTATCTCTCTCAGGACAGCAGCAGGCTGACTCTCCCCTAAAATAGGTGGAGATGTCCGCGGTGGAAAACAGTCACACAGCCAATTAACAACACAATCTGCCTCAGCGTCCCTGACTCATCCATCTCTACCTCCACCCTCGCTCCAACTACCTCTACGGCCCCTTTCTTTTATTTAAGCTCTTCTTGCCATCTGTGCGTCAGTCTTGTACCCTCTGCCAACTCTTGACAGAGGGGTGCAAATAGGACCTGCCCAACTTTTTAACTAGATGGTCTTGTTTAACAGCCCTCATGTAGAGAAGAGAATGATGTGCAGATGTTGAGGAGGAAACAGGAAAGAGAAGCAATGGACATAGAGAAAGTGGAGAGGGGAGGGTTCAAATGGAGGGAGACTGAGGAGACAGAGAGCGTGATAAAACCAAAGGAAGAGGCAGGTTGTTTTGTAAGCTCCTGATAAATAAAGACAGACTCAATCTCTCTGGGAGGAGCTGTTTGCTGAGAGGCCTGAGGTTGTTACAGAGGTGTCAGGTTTGGGCGCCCCAAACATACCATTACCCAAAGTAAAGAACACCCATTTCCCCACACGGTGGAATTGGTATGTGGGACACAAAGACAAGTTCCAAGGTTTAAAAGTACTCAATCTTTGTCTCAGCTCTCTGCCTCATTTACAAACACACAAGGCCCTCTTTAGCATCTTTATAAAATGCAAGAATTTACAGTTTCAGACCCAATCTTATCAAAATTACACGTTAAGATGAATAGCCAATAAGGAGGTGGTACAAATTAAGAGAAAGTCTGTGTAGGGTGGAGGTTGTGCGCTGTGATTGGGCCAAACAATGCAGACCCAACATCCAAGAGTATGAGGCACAAGTACAAGCTTGAAGCCTTTAGTGGTGTGTGTGAAAAGGTAAACACACATACGTACAATACAACATATTATTTATGTATTTATTGAATTCCAAAACTTAGTTTTTACCCTGGCTTATTTCAAGGAGTGTTATTTATTTGGGATTTCTATGGGTTTTATTGGCTGATATTTCTTTCTCTGATACGCCCTGATTGGTGGAAACTTGAGCACCTTTTTCATTTTTATTGTTTTTATATATTTTTTGTTCTTTTATCATGTTTAGTAGGTTTTAAATAGATTTCCTTTTCTCTCTAATGCCGTGATTTTAATCGCTGTGCCGCAGCACACAGGTGTGCCATGAGAGATCGTCGGGTGTGCCTTGGGAAGTCTAGAAAGAAAAAAATGATTAAGGCGGTGAAAAGAATTGATGTAACACAGTAACACAGTACAGCCCTTGTTGGCCATCTGTGCTCTGTAGTGGCAGGCAAAGCAAACATCTAGTTAAATTATAGAAGCTACATTGTCATTGAAGTGTATTCATTATTTACTTTGATAGGCTGCAAAAGACTTGAGGTTGGTGGTTTACTGTGGGATTTTTTTAATGTATAAAATGTACAAAAAAGGTTGAAAAACGCTTTCCTAATGGGTTGTTTTTTGTTTCATCTGTTTAGTCATTTGAAATGTCAAATGTGTACAAATGATGTTAACTGAACATGAAAGGACAGCAGCACTTAATGTTTACAGAATAAGAATAAGTAAAAAGAGTCCATTGTGAGACCATAAACCATGTGTTTTCTATCCATCTTAACTAAACCTGTGGACTGTTTGACCTTCCCCTTGTGTTAAAATGAAAGAAAACACAGTTATCTGTTCTTCTGAATGACAAATAACAGACACTATCTTAAGTTTTGTTTTCTTGATGATTTCAGGCCCTGATATTTTCAGCAAATTCTTCTTTGAAATCAACTTTGTGTGATTCAAAAAGACATCTTGTGTGTCTGAATGAGATGCTTAAAAAAAGGCTGTCAGTATTTGATGACATGAATTAGAAAAGTGGAACCGACAGCTTAAAATCTCATGAATAGATCTCATTTCTCTCTTTTTTTCTGCCTTTTCACAAAGTGAGTTGATGTCCTAACCGCTCTGACCTTGTCCATCTTTTTCTTTTTGCCAGCGCTTACATCAACAAGGCCAGCGACTCGTCCGAGCAGGTGACTCTCATCGACTCGCTCCACTCCCCCGAGGGCCTGGCTGTCGACTGGGTGCACAAGAACATCTACTGGACCGACTCAGGCAACAAGAGCATCTCCGTCGCCACGGGAGACGGCAGGAAGAGGAAAGTGCTGATAGCCACTGAGCTTAGCGAGCCGCGGGCCATCGCGGTGGATCCACACCAAGGGTGAGTGGGGTGATGTGTGAGGGTGTGAGGGGGAGATTTGGACAGATGGTACAAAGTTTGACAGAGGGAAGGAAGCAGGAAGTAGGAAGTGGGAGGGAGGGCCGGACAGCTCGCGGGCATCAGTGTCACTCGATGCCAACGTTGTTTTATCGAAAAGTAGTTCCTGAAAACTTTTTTTTACTTCATGATAACAGAACTATTTTCAGTGCAGCACAGATTAACAACTATTTGGAGGAACAATGTGGTCCTGTTTCGCTTCATCTGCCTCTCTTATTTGTCCCCAAGGATTCTTCACTACCACTTTACAAAGAACAAAACACATGCAAATGAAGCTCAGCTTTTATGGCCACACACAGACACACACACTTCTGAGGGTGGTCCAACTTTCTGGTACCTGCTGTTCAACAAATTATCTTCTGTACTTCAGTGTCTCAGAGGCCTGTTTGAGAAGATCAAGTTTTTGATTTTGGAGAGAAATTCAGAATCTCTTCATAACAAATAGGGGAAATTAATATATAATCCCAAATGTATAATATTGATTGTACATTTAACATTAGCTCACATTATGTACTAATGAACAATGAAGCTTTCTTCTTAGATCTTATTTGCAAAGATATTTTTTGCAAAAGCGCCCACAAGCTCATTTTTAGAGCACCTCTCACCAGCACTCCTTGTCTCTACGTTACTAATGTTAACCTCCACTTCACTCTGTAATCGCAGTTCTATTTAAATCAAATCAAATCAAGTTTATTTGTATAGCACATTTAAAAACAGCTTCATCTGGCCAAAGTGCGTATTTATACTGTACAGCTCCGTGTGCTTAATATTTACTTTTTTAACTTTTTTTCTTTTATTCATGGAAATATCACCAAGAAAAACATCCAAACTATGTAAAGTTCTCTTGTCCTGGATCAAGCAGAAGCTCCAGACCTGGAAAAAAGACTGGACCCTCGAAAAGAAGTGTCACATAGTTTTCTTCTCCACCATTGTTGTTATTGTTTTCCAAAAGTTGAACCTCTTTTTTCAACTGTGAATGCAGCGACAAAATAAACAGCTGATGCTGAGCGCGCTTTGTGCTCAGGACACTAGCCAGGTACTGACAATGGAGCGACCACAAACTAGAGAAGTCTTTCATTGTGACTGACAGATTAATAACATGTTTTTGCTACCTGAATATTCATGCATAGCTGAATTGGTTGATGTATCTTTTCACAGGTTTATGTACTGGTCCGACTGGGGAGGCCAGGCCAAAATTGAGAAGTCTGGGCTGAACGGAGTGGACCGACAAGTTCTGGTGTCGGAACACATCGAGTGGCCCAATGGAATCACTCTGGGTAAGAAAGGACGATTACAACTCTGAACATGCAACGCAAGGCGAAGAGACGAGTATAATCTGATACAAAGACAGCTAATCAATCAGCTCTAAAAGGAGTTTTTATGAAGAAACTTATAATTCTGGTATTGCTTTTGAATGAGAGAGGTGGGAAAATGCTTTGATTAAATTGAACAGAAAGAAAGAGACAGACACCAGAGAGGGAAAAGAACACGCAGCAAGAGGTGAGCGAAGACCAAAACAGACTCAGGGTTCTGCCACCTCTGAGTAGCTCTCATTGTTACAGCTCAGTTTGTGTCTGGCTCTCATCAATCAAGCCTGCGAACGCCAAGCCCTCCAAATTAATAAGCCGCGCCGCACTGTGCCGTCGATACCTCCCGTCGTCCTTTTCAACTCCCTCAGCGGCACCAGCCAATTTCTCTCTGCTGCCCTTGCCTGAGGAGAAACACAGGCACGCACATAGTCGCCACACTCGGTGGGAATTGAGGTGTCACTACATCTGTATGAAAACAAATTATTTTTCAGAGTGAAGCGAATGAAGGAGTTGTTGGCCAGACTTGCACTATGCTGCCGTGAAAGACGGGGAGGATTAGTGTCCCTCGGCCATTGATTTCATTCACAGCAGCGAACAGAGCGGGTGATTTTCCCTGAGTCAGGAGAGGTGAAGTTGTGAATAAAAATAAATCTGTGCCTTTTCTTGCTTCTTTGTATACTCCGGATGACGTTAAATCAACTTCTTCTGAAGTGAACGCAGCTTAGAAGATGCATTACGTCGAACCTGATCAAACTCAGCATCATGAGAATCATCACAATGAAATTAAGAGTGAAAGTCCATTTGGTGCAAATTCATCACAATCAGAGGACGTGGAATAAAACCTTTTTGCACTGTGAGGTAGTCGGCTGTCCACTGAGGTGTAGAGTAGAGTTATTGTATTAAATATATAGATATTATGTTATTCAGGGATGTTCTACAATAGGTAGCATAGTGGCATATTGTCTGTAAAACTGTATTTTATGTGAGTAAAGATGTGTATAAAGGGCGTACCTGCACTTTCTTATTTATGCATAATGTGTTAAAGGTAAGCCGTAGCCGTTGGATTAGGCGCCTTAGCTGCCAAATTCTTGAATTAAAACTCCTGGAAGACTAATGAATTTGCTCAAGGTTGAACAAATTTTCCCAAGCAAAGAAGTCAAACTGCAATATTACAATTACATCAGTGTTTTCTCAGCGCGGGGGCCTCAGACGTCATGCCAGGGAAGATTGATGGTGTAGCTACTGGGCCATTACATTCATACACCTCTCACCCGAGGCTTTTTTTTTTCTCTTCAATGACCTCTCTTGCTCTCTCTCTCTCTCTCTCTCTCTCTCCATTCTTCTCCTTCTCCGTCCTCCTTTTCTTTTCTTTTCATTGCTTTTCTTGGTTTTTTTGTTTTCTCCATCTTCTCAGACTTGTCAAACAGACGTCTCTACTGGGTGGACTCCAAGCTGCACCTGCTGTCCAGTGTGGATCTGAATGGAGACAACCGCAAAGTGCTGCTGTCCTCCCATCACCACCTGGGTCACCCCTTCGCCCTCACTGTGTTCGAGGTAAAGGAGCATTGAGTTCATGAACCCCTGAAAGATTCTTCAGTCTTTCCTGTTCTCAAAAGCGTTTCACATGTTTAAATGGATCTCTTTTTGTAGCCATTCATCAATACCTAAATGTTGTTGATTTCCACTAGCAGTCAGCATTTCAGCGTTTTAAATTTACAAGGGCACAAAATACAAATTAAAACACATAATTAAAGCGTGAGACTTAAATCAGTTCTTTAAACGCACCGTATGTAAATTCTGCCACCAGGGGGCTCTCATTCAAAACGATAACCAAACGTGACGTCAAGGCTTGCAGGGGAATCATGGGAGTGATTCTCTCTGTTACTCATTTGCGTCACAGAAGAGCATATGTCCATGAATGAGGACGGCAGTGGTTGTCGTGACGTCACAATCCGATGGTGGTGGTTGGTCGTAGGGCGGTGGTTGTTGGGACGACACAATCCATTGGTAATAAGCAGCTTTCCCAAATGGCATAAATGAAGCTAACCACAAAAAAGGAAAATGGGAATGATAACCCTGAAAAACATCAACATCAAAAAGATCTCCTTCAAACACTGTGCACAGTGTTTGAAGGAGATCTCTACCTGAGAGGCAAAAAAGTTGCTAACATCCTTATTTGACCTCCAAACTTGGATACACATAGAAAAAAAAAGGTCTGTCCTCACTTATCTCTGCTTTGTAGGCCACGTTCTCTTATCTTTGTTGTTGATTCTTATCTTGGCTGTGTATTTTTAGGTTACCAGTGCCCCAAATTTAAGAACTGTACATGAGTGTTTGCTGTTATTTAAAGCCAGAGATGTTAAAGGGCTCGCTAGCCTCCCTGTGAGAGATGGAAGAACCTGTTAGAGAAGTATATATCCTTAAGAGATATATACTCGTTTGGCTGATTGCAAGAGCTTAAAGAAGTGGAGTAAGTCGATGGAGTATAATCGACCGACTGAGAGAGATACTGAGAAGAAATTAGAGATGTTTTAAAAAGTAAAGTAGCAATTTAGAGCCAGAAAAGGAATGATCTTTTTAAGGACTGACAATCAGGGAGTCGCAGTAGAGAAGAGCAATCGATGAGACTAATCGTGGTGTATTTGTTGAGGCAGGAATGAGTCGGACTGTTAGAGCCCATGGGGTGAAGCGGCGCTGAAGGGGGAAACAGAGAAGCAGAGGAGAGCAGAGCAGAGCGAGCAGGAGGAGGATGAGGAGGATGAGGAGGATGAGGAGGGGGAGCTGGAAGGAGGTGAAATGTGAACAGTAGGAAGCGCTTTCTCCATTCCTCTCCATGCTGCACACACACTGTGATGATGAGGAGCAAAGCCAAGAAGGGACATCCATCATGTCCAGCTGAGTGTGCATGCCTGCGTTTGTGTGTGCTTCAATGTGTGTGTGTGCTTCCATATGTGTGCGTGTGTGTGTGTCTGTGTGTGTGAAGAACAAAATAGGAAGAGAAGCAAGGTTTGAGGCAGGCTCTGAAAGTTCATCCGCAGAGATTAATAACCCTCTGCTCCTCTGGTTTTTGTTCTGTTCTGTTTATGATACAGAACAAATTAAAAATCCTTTAGCGCTGCAGCAGAATGTCAGGGTTCCAGCACAGCGATAATGGGAACTTTGTGTTGTTGGTTTGAGTTGTGTACTCAAACAAAGAGTCTTTTTTTTTGTTTTTTATTCAGTTTGCCTCTTATCTAGGAAATGGGCATCAAGGGAGTATTGTTTGTCTTCAGGTTTTCGTAGGCCCACTTTAGCCCAGTTAGGCCCAGTTGTGTAACTCACCATGTGTCACCCCAGATAATGGAGCAACATTTAATGACATGAGGATGCTGATAAAAAAAACAATAATGAATCTCTATTTAGTCATTTTTCCAGCTCAAATGTCAAACCAATTTCCTGGCTTCTGCCTCCTATTTATATTTTTGGCGTAAATGAAGTAAAATGAATATAATTTTTGTTATCTGTCATTGCGGTCCATTAAACCAACTTTTTATGTCTACACAAAATTGGGCATTAAAAGGAATTTAATTCTATTTTCTAACTTTTTTTTACCAGTTAATTATCAATAAAAGAATGAGCAGACTATCTCTTGTAAACTAATTAAAACATCTGGAAAGATAAATCAACAACAGCCTTCTAACTGGAGCGTCTTATGAACTTAATGAAAGGGAAACAAATAGTTTTCAATATTAGTTTTAATCCAAATTCAAAGCTCTAAGCGGACATTTATCAATACATATTATTTATTCTTCAGCACTGTTTTTTTCTGTGTTCTTTCAAGTTCTCGAGATGACACCATAAATATGTCTAGATGTAAAATAATTACAACCAGATATTACTCAGTAGCACTGGAAACTGGAGTAATTTTAAGTTTATGAATATATGTTCACTTAGGGCTTCCATAAATATCAATAAAGGTTATATAAACTATTCTGATTATGGTTTATTTTTAAGTACTTTTTCGGGCCTTTTTGCCTTTATTGGATAGGACAGCTGAAGTGAGACAGGAAATGTTAACAGGAGAGAGCGGGGGATGACATGCAGCAAAGGGCTGAGGTCAGATTCGAACCCCCAGGGTGCATGGTAACGCTTGACACAAAACTTACCCAATGAATTCTGTCAATGAATCGTAGTACCAGTCACATGGCAGCTATCAGGCGTATTACACCCAGCCTCTCAGGTGTTGAGCGTCCACCAGGGTTGATTCTTTTTGCTGTGAGAGTTAAGTGAAGGTTGTTCACAAGCGGCTGGTGTTCATTGTTACAGGAGAAAATGTAAAGCACCAACAAATTCTGCAATAACTAAATACAGTATCTGTTAGCTTTTTATTAAAAAAGGCCATCTCAGTGAATATAGTGCATGTACTTTATGCCAAGAAAATCATCTATTAACTCATAATTTCTCGTCCAGTCGTTAAGAATAACTCTGACTGTTTTAAGATATATGATATACCCCTCCGACATACTATTCACAAAAGAAAACATCAAATCATGACTTTCAATCATTTTTTCTACCCGTGTACATACGAGTGTTAAAGCTATTCTGAGCTCTGTGAGAGATGTGAGCTTTCACAAGTGTGAGTTTTATAGTGTGTTAAATGGCCCATTCGAAGTGTTAAACACCACTGTTCTCATGGTCATCTCATCCCGAAACCTTCACACTGATGCTGATATCCACCAGTAACAGAGAAAAGACAATCAAAGTCTGTATCCTCTCCGCCAAACACACACATTACCCCCTCCCGTCTGTGTCCACCAGCTGCCTATAGACACCGAGCCCTGAGGACACGTCGATCACAGGAGCATGCAGAGAATAATGTTTTCTCTTTCACTAGCTTTAGTATCATGGCGTTACTGTTTATCCCCTCTTTGTTTGACTGGAGGGAGAAGAGAAGACGATAAGATGAGTTGAGGAAGAAAAGCCAGAGAGAGGGGGACGATGACTGAAAGAAAAAGACGATGGGAATAAGCTGTCTGGAAGAAAGAAAAACATGATGCTTTGTCATTTATTTGTCTGTTTGCCATGAACGTAACCACAGGAGCATTTCAACTAGATTAGAAAGGCCCACACACACACACCCTCACACTTCTTCTCCATGGTTTATTCTATTTAAATTCACCTCTGAGATAGAAAGGTTGGCGGAGCTTTGGTTATCTTTCTCTTAAAGCTGCAACAAAAATAAAGTAATAGTCAAACTCTCTGATAGTCTAACCTGATTGACAGGTCGCCATGGCAGCCAGTTGTCCATCACAGGTAGGCAAGCCTTTATGCAGAGTCTCCTTTTTCAGAGATTTAACACCAAACGGAAATTATTTCTATGTCAATACATAAACTGCCATATGGTTTCATAAAAAATTGCAATCAATGGAGCCCCCACCCCCTCCCCCCTCACCCCACCGTCTGGCTGTTTGAAGGAATGCAGGTTTGCATTGACTTCACTGGGGGAACCAGAAGCTATGTCCACAATCAGCGCTTAGCTGTACCATTGAAGGGACAATACTTTTTATGCATTCGTTCCAAAGACAGCCTAAGTTCCCGTCTGTCTCCTCCTGTCTCATAACTGAAGCAAACTATGGTTCTTTGGGGAGATTTTCTGACCCAATCACTCGCTGTCCTCTTTGGTCAGGAGTTCATAGTTCATAGCACATAGTTCAAACAGAATGCTTTGTTCATTGCATGAATGATTTTGTAATCACCAAACGTCCTGAACATATTATTAGTACAGAAGTATGTTATGCGATTCAGAGACTGGAACTTGTGTGACCACAGCAAACCAGTGAGGACATTGTAAGTACACCTAAAGGCCACATAAGGGCTCACATCAGCTAAAATAACTGGAAACACCTGTGTGGGTGTACTATACTTTAATACTCATATGCAGCTTAAACTGCTCCTAATATGATTCCGACACAGATTTTTACACCAAACCCACATTGATATTTCACAATTTGATACAAGAAAGAATGTAAATCAAACCCACAAAATCAAAGGCTTCAAAAGTTGAGTGGGTTGAGCTTTTAATTGTAGATTTTCGGCATGACATCCAAGTGTGCACGAGGCACCAAAATCTCCCCGTGCACATGTGTCAGTCAAAAGAGTCCAACGTTTGTCCGATGGCTCTTTTGGGACAAAGTCATGACAGAACCATCAAAGGCTTTTTCTCCCCCTGACCCTCAAAAGTCTTCCTCTGTGGTGTTGTACCTTCATACCAAGAGAGAGAGAGAGAGAGACACACAACGCTGACTGAAATGACGCAAGCCGATGTGTGTAGGGAGAGCTTACCTCGATTCTACGATGAAAAAGCTCTGACATGCTCAGGTCGTCATCGCTGTTTGAAGCATTCAAGGTTAGAGAAAAATGGAGGTTGAAGAGATTGACAGGAGAGATATTGAAAGAGAAAGGAGAAGCTTGTGACTGACAGACACGGTGAAAGACAATCCACGGGGAGAGGAAAGGCAAAGGGAGAGATTGAATGGTAGATTTGAGTTTAGTTTTTATCAACATGGCTGATATTTGTCTTTGACTGTTTCAGCGCTTCTGTCATATGAGTAAAGGTTATCTGAATCTGAGTGAAGGGGGGGGGGAGATGGAGGGAGGGAGAGCACAAAGAAAGATGGAAAAAGAGAAGGTGAGAGAAAGGTCATGTCCACTGATACCCCAGCTCAAAAGAGGAGCGTGGACCGCTGCTATGGTGGAACCACACACACCGTGATGCACTGACACACACACGCAGCAGACAGAGCTATGTTCGGACCCCCCGACAGGTTGTTGCCCTTTAGAGAAGCTGTAGACACAACCTCTGCCTAGGGGGAAAAAAGTCGCTGATAGGATTCCTGAGATAATTCAGGAGCTGTCAAAACAATGTTTTAAACCCTTCTAAGATCTCAGCGTCTCAGTGTTTACTCTCGCTCTAATTTTCTTCCCCTGTTTTTCCTAACTTGATGTTTGTCTGCATTTATGGAGCAATCTGCAGTTGCCATGGAAACCAAGTGTCATAACCACTTGTGCAGTGTATCCTGTTAATCCTGGCGTACCACTAAAGAGAATATTGAGGAGGTGTGAGAGCGAGAGAGAGAGAGAGAGAGAGAGAGAGAGAGGAGAGCAGAAACGGAGGAAGAAGCGTAAGTGAAAGATAAGAGAAGATCTCACAGGTCAGGGTCTGCAATATGTATTCTTTTATTTTCTCACAAAGCTCAGGGGCAGCAGAGTCACACAAAGGACTCAGTGAAAGAAAGAGTCGGGCAAAGATCTATTTACCAGGCTGGTGTTCATAATGGATGTCATGTTCCTTCTTACAGTCCTCCTAAAGGTTGTTTTGAAGCAGCTGGCTTAATCATTGATGGACTGATATTATATTAAAAATGTGTTGTGAATGGGGCCTCGTGTTGCAGCCAGACGCCTCTGCATGCTATCCAGTGTTCCTACACACCTTTTAGATAATAAATATAAAGTTTTCCACCTTGCCAAATGTCTAAATATTTCCTTCTTTATCTTTGGATAAGCATCGATGGGTAGCATGTCTCCTATGCCTTTTTTCAAACTAGAACGACCATATTTGGTAAGAAGTTGTCGATCATTCGTAGCCACATCCTAAAGAAACCCACCATGTCGGTTATCAGAGACATTTACCTGCTTTGCTTTGTTTTACTCACATCATTTGTATTTTGTGTATGTGTGTATTTACAATACGTTTTTACTGTTTTCTTTTGATTACTTTCTGTATCTAAATCTTATTTTTACCTTCTGTTTATACCTCAACTTGTATTGCCTTCTTAGATTTTGTCAATTGTTTTATTATCATCTTGGGAAATGTTTGAAATGCTTTTTGTGCCTGTGTAAAGCACTTTGAATCGCCTGGTGTCTGAAAGGTGCAATATAAATAAACGTGCCTTGCCTAAAGCGAACCCTGCTTTATCGTCCACTTTATTTAAATGGCACCAAAATGACGAGCTCGTTTCTCTCTTTCTTTTCCACTCAGGACCGAGTGTTCTGGACGGACTTGGAGGATGAAGCGATATACAGCGCCAACCGGCTGACGGGACACGATGTGGCGAAGGTGGCCGAGCACCTGAACAACCCGCTGGACCTGGTGGTGTTTCATGAACAGAGGCAGCCCAAAGGTAAGACCTACGATACATTCTTAGTTCATTGTAAATCAACAACTACAACTAAGAAGACATGAGTGTTTTTATTTAGCTATTTTGAGTTTTCAGAGCAGCATGGGGAAAGAAAACGCAGATCACAGGAAGCTGATGAGATGTAGAGCTACAGCTAAAGAAAGAGGTGTTTCGTGTTGGCCAACTAAGTAAAATGATTAAGGATTTAAATGCAGAGAAAACAAACCATAGGAAGAAATCGTTTTAGCATCGGCCTCCTTGCTAACACAGTCTTGAATAATCCATATATAGACCAAAGAATCCTCTTATTAAAACTGTCTCAAACAACAAACAAACAAACAAGCGGATGTGTGTGATTAGATCGATGAGTATGCAGTGAATGGAAAATGATATGTTGTGATGTAGTATGGATGGAAGCATCCCAGGTGTCAGTCCAAACACCTGTCTATGTGTGTGTGTGTCTGTCTGTCTGTCTGTAAGTGTCAAAGAGTGTGTTTTCCTGTTTTGGTCCCTCCTCTCACTCAGAGCTCAAAGCAGTCTTGTGTGAGTGTCAGTAGGGAGCTAATTGCATTCTCTCATTAATAAATCAGGAGTTCGGCTCAAATTGATCTCACAGAATTATACTCCTTTATTTCCATAATCCTACAAAAGCAAGTCTTAAAACAACCATTCTGAATAATCTCCAGCTGCCCTGAGAAGATATTAGTCATGAAATATTTGATTATACATAAAGTGACCTTCATGAAGAAGGTGCAAGGTCAACTCTTCCCTTTTGTTTCGCTGCCTTTGTCTCGCTCTTTGGTTTCTCTTTTTGTATGTGTGTGTGTGTGTGTGTAAGAAAATACAGACTATTCTTGACATATCACAAATATGAGGATGTGGTAGTACAGTAGAAAAAATGTGGACGGGTTTTTAAACTAAAAGTGACAATGTTTGGACGACAGGTTGGATACACATTGTAAAGCCAAAATACATTCAACCACAGTAGCAACCTCTTATGGCGCACTCACACTGGGTAATCTGTACCGTGCCCATGCATGTGTGACCCTAAAAGTCCAGTTCGTTTGACTAGTGTGAGTGCTCTGTAACGCGCTCAAGCATGATACACTTCCTTGGCCCAGGCACGGTTGGAAGACATGGGCTTCGGCACTGTAGTAGGGTATGCAACGTGGCATGACGACGCCAACTTACAAAATCAAAAAATGAACGAAGCTTCCTGATGACTTAAAGCCATTGTGTCATATTACAACATGATGCCATATGTACAAGAGGTAACCGTGTTCAGGCCCGGTTGGAGTTTACAGAGGTTAATACTGAATATCGACCAATGGTTTTCCGGATTCGCTCAGTTAGTAGATCAAGCACACAATAGGCTACAGTCCTTAATGCACTGGCTGCAGGCTCACAGCCACACCTCTCTCCTCCCAACGTTTCCCGTGTCTCTTCAGCTGTCCAGTCATTGAAGGCAAAAAGGCCCATAAATGACCTATAAGAAAACATGTCAGGGGTTACATCCATTTGGACTTTTATTGGCACCAGTGTTGCTCCTTTTTATCAACTAGAAAAAATGCACATTTAAGACTCCTCCACAATGGTTTCTACATTTGATACCAAGAGGCTACATCCACATTTACAGTCTGTGTTCACAGTAAGCATCCACACATTCAACTATAGCACCAACTTCTTCAACATGGGTGCATACATCCTCAAAAGAGTCTCTCTTCATACCCTGTCTTTGTTGTTGTTTTTTTCTATTATTCATCCTTGTATTTTTTTTGTTGTCCATCCTGCTGTGCTTTGAAACCTTTGGTTCTATGTCTTATTCTAGACCTTAGAGAGGCTGCTGAAATTCAGAGTGGACAATTGAACTATTGCAGCTTGGGATGTGATTCCTGCAAACTTTCATCTCAGATAGTCTCTCTTCACCCCTTATCTGTATCTGTCCTTGTTTCCTTCTTACTTTATTTCTTCTTTTGCACCCATTTCTCTCCATTCCTGCTCTTTGATTTCGTTTCTCTTAAAGTTCCTCTTCCACCTTTCTTTCTCTTTTGTCCACTAGCACAGACTTTCTAAGGTTTTTTCATGATGTGTCATGGCATTTTAAAGGTTTGGTTTTAAGCAAAGTGCTTCATTTCTTCTTAATATGGAGAGCAGGTATGGAAGACATTTGGAGCTTTTGAAGAATTTTCATTCCGACAGCTGTTCACATTACATACTTCTTATTCTGAGCTACTGTACATCAAGCATGAATGTATTCCCAGCTTATTAAAATCCGACTGTGTGTAGTGAGTGATGTTTCCGCCTCCCTGCAATGGTTGATGATTCCTCTGATGTGCCGCTCTTGAGAACCCCGCACATGTCAGGAGGCAGAATCGACCACGATCTGACCTAATTCTGGTGCTTCCCCACATGACAAGAGTAGCGATATTTTTCTCCGCCAGGCTGAGTCTTCGCTTTGGAAACCCAAATGTAAATTTTTCATTTGAGTGCTGAGATTAAAAAATAAAGTTTAGACATCCCCTGCCTTAAGCTAAACATCTCCTCAGTGGGCCGTGAAAATAAAAAGGTAATGGCATAAATGTAGCTCCCTCAGTGAAAACTCAAAGAGTTGCCTGGGAATCAGACGATCTGCAAGCTCCTGTTTTATTTGCTCTGGCAGTTGCATCTGGTCCCCTTCAGTTCAGACAGATTCATATCCAGCCTGATTCAGGTCAAGCTAATCACAACAGTTCATCTGAAATAGGAAGGCTTAGAGCCATTTAGCATATCTGTAAACAACCAAGATGGCTGCCGCTGATGTGGAATATTCTGAATTTGCTGGCAGGTCTTTTTCAAACCATCTACTACAAGTTATGACTTGGTATCTGGGGGTCACAACAGTTTTTTTTACACTTTGTAAGGTCTAAAAACAAGAAGGAAACAGTTTTAAGTCAATGTAATGTGATTAATATGAATCATTTTAGTTATAAAGTTACCATATACAATATTAAAAATATCATTATATTGTGTATGTTGTCATTTTTGGTATACATTTTGGTTATATTTAATTCTAAGATGCCAAACAACACCTGTCAAAGGGGTTGCTTATGAAAATCAGCCTTTTGGCTAACGCAGGGAACATTAACATTTGTGTGAATGTTGACTGTGTATATTGTCCCTTTTCAAATAAACACCCTTACCCCAAACATTTTTGGAGGTTTGGGCTTTTGCCTTTATTTGATAGGACAGTAAAAGAGCTGGACATTGGGTAGAGAAGCTGGGGAATGACATTTGGGCCTTGAATTCAAGCTGCCTGCTTGAATGTCTATAGCCTCCGTATGTGGGGAGATAGCTAACCATTACAACATCAGCACCCTGATTAATATATAAAGAAATACACTGATGTGTTTTGCAGTTGTATAAGTTGTGCTTAGTCACTTTAGTACAATATTTCTCTTTGTGGTTTTGATTGAAAAAAGTTTTCACGCAGCATCAGTACCACTTTTTACGAATTTTACAAGTTTTTTTTATGCCAATAAGACTCAAAAAAAGGGTCTGCATTTATTTTTCATGAGCATTTAAATACTCTAGTCAACAGTACATGTACTCATCACCTTCGATATGACATGAAATTGTAATTATAGACATTTGAAGAAAGATTTAATGTCATTTTAATACATGTAAGGCTTCCACGTGTATGAAGAAAATCTACTTGTGTTTGATTTGTACGGTAGAAGTTCATCTCTTTTTTCTATTTCTTCTTGTCTCCTTAAAGCCCCCGACACCTGTAACATGGGCAGTCTGCCGAATGGAGGCTGTGAATACTTGTGTCTGAAGGCCCCTCAGATCACAGACCACTCCCCCAAGTACACCTGCGCCTGTCCCGACGGCATGGAGCTGGGACCGGACATGAGGCGCTGTGCAGTAGGTAAGTCGCTCTGAACGATTAATCACAGAGTCTAAGGGACACGCTCTTAATTAACAGGATCTTGCTGAGGAGTGTCACACAATGTCCACATCACTGTAACCATGGAGACGACGAGATGATGAAGTGCTAGGTCATGAGGAAATTCAACTGGTTTCGTTCTCACAGCACTGCTTAAAGGAGTTCACCTCGTAATAAAGTATTTAAACATGTCTTGAAATAAATCTTCCACTTTAAACTATTCACTGTATTGGGGGTATCCAGTGTATGCATGGATGGTTTAGGGAAGTATTTCTCACGCCAATCTAGGAAGGAAGAACGTCTTATTCCCGGTCGTGTATGATAACTCAAATCTTGGCCTGTCATGTTAAATTTGATTTCAGTACTTCATCCTGGGCAGCTAGACCAAGACCAACTCATTCCTTAATAGTTTTCAGCGCTAGAGATGAAGTCCTGCTGAGGGTTTTCCCTCGTGTGCGAATCAAATGTAACGTTTGAGGAGATCCACTTAATCCTCTGAACACTGTCACTTTAAACCCATTTCTTCAATCAATCTTTATTTGTGTTGCGCCAATTCATTACAAATGAAGACCTTACTCTTTGTTTTATTATCTATGAAGACCCAACAGTAATCCATCATGAGCACAAAGCAACATTTAGCAAAGTTGCAGTGGCAAGAAAAGCTTCCTTTAGGAGGCAGAAAGCTCGAGCAGAACCAGACTCAGACCTGTTGAACTGTGATGGGCTTTGAAAGGGGGATAGAGGGGGATGCAGGGAGGAGGATAATCATGCTAAAGTGCTGGGATGTTGATGATGAAAATGTGAATAAAAACAGAATGCAATGGCTCGCAAAACATTTAAACCCCATGTTTGATTGATTTTAGATTTGATTTGATTTGTTTTGGAAAATGAACTGCCTGAAATATGCGTTCAATTTTGATGCCAACAACATATAAGAAGTTGGGACACTGGCAACAATAGGCTGGAAAAGTTGTGAAATACTTCTAGGTTTATTGGCGGCAGGTTGTTAATATGATTGATTATAAAAAAGAGTTTCACAGAGAGGCTGAGTCCTTCTGAAGTAAAGAAGTAGTATTTGTCTTTGAGCTGATTTTAACTTAATATGGGGTTTCAATGTTTTGCAAATCATCACATTCTGTCTTTATTGGAATTCATGCAGTGTCCCAAATTTTTAGGAAATGGGGTTGTGCATACATTAAATGCTAAACATACAGTATTAACCCTTTGAGTTCTAGCATACAAATGAATGTGCCACTTTATACACCACATGCCTTTTGTGATTTCAATTGTTGGAGGTTTTTTAAATTCCTCATATCCCTAGAATCTGTACAACTACAGCTCATTAGGTTATGAACTGTATGTCGCTTAACCATATTAACTAATTAAAAATATTGATCTCAGCCTTTTCTTAAAAGTACGCGATAACCAATCAATACAAAACCTTTTTGAATGTAGAAACATGGAAAAAAAAATATTCCTTTACCTTTAAGAAATAATTTGAACAGTTTCATTTTTTAAAGTTCAAGATATATAATCATTGTCATGAGCAGAGGGCAACGGTGGTTTCATGTTTTTTTGTAAAGCTTTATTAGCCTATAATCGACACAATCACGAGCTAATGTGAGTTTTGTCATTTATTCTGTGGCTATTACGGTGAATTGAAACAGGATTATGCGATCAACAATATCCTGAGGCCAGATAGCTCTACATTTTTATCACTGCATGTACCCTAACCTAATGTTATTGTAGGATAGATACAATTTGATGATGTGAAAGGAAGTCTTAGCTTTCTCTTGCAAGAAGAATGGCGGCTTTAGCAATTATAGTTTTTATTTTAGATCGGTTTTTAACAGGCTTATATGAAAAACCCATCTGTTTTCAAAAGCTTCTTAATAAAAAGGCTTAAACACAAATGATTCATGATTATGATGTCGGCTCTTCTACACACCAAAGCTCTTCAATTAATACCCATTCATATTTATTTAAAATCGCAGAGAAATAGCCTATTGACTACAGCTAATACGATCCAAATTCAGTATTCACCGAAGTCTGCCTAAAAAAAAAAAAGAAAAGCGGTATTAATTATGATTGATCTCATGCCAATTCCTTCAGAGGAGATGATACCTGAGGTGACTGTAATGCTTGGGAAGTGGGTCAGAATTCTCCCAGCTTACCTGTGTTTCCAGCTCACTCCTTTATTACACTGACCTTACTTCACCGCACAGCCAGCCCCACGAGTACAGTCGCTTCATTTCACAACTGTTAAGCTGTTATCCTTAATGAACCTGTTCTGTTTTGCACTTAACGTTTGCACATGCGAGGGGGGGAGGAAGCTCACACAGAGATGATGATATATGTAGGCTACCATCCAGAGAATTCCTCTGAGAATGAATGGGGGAGGAAACATGGCCATGCAGCGTGCAGAGAACCTTTGCACTTAAACTTTTTGGAAATCCCAATGCAGTACAAGTATTTCTGCTGAGCACTTATTAAGTTTTAATGAAAAGGCCTCTGCATTATGTTCTTCCAAATTTAAGTCTTAGGCTATGTCAGCTAGCTGTAACCTTAGAACATGGCCTGATTATACTGAACTTTAACCCTTAAAGGTCACATATTATCCTCCTTATTAACAAGTTAAAATAAGTCTTAGAGCTCCCCAAAACATGTCTGTGAAGTTTCCTGCTAGAAATTCCACTCCAATCTTGTATTTAAGCATGCCTATAAACCCCTCAATTTCAGCCCTGCTCAGAACAGGCTGTTTCTGTGTCTGTAGCTTTAAATGCAAATAAGCAGTGTCTGACCACGCCCCCCCCCCCCCCCCACAAGGTGATGTGGCTTGGGCTCTCTCACACCATGCCCTGCTGTTTACGGTGGAAAGGTGGAATACGGCGGCCGAACAAACACTAAACTGTGTGATTGTCACCCACCTGGGGGAGGGGTTTAGGCCCTTTGTGATGTCACAAAGGGAAAATCTCCAAACGGCCTGTTTGAGCACACATTTTCTGAAAAGGGGAGCAGGCAAGAGACGGAGAAGATGGACTTTTCTCATGATTGGGGGGTTTGTAGACAGACTAGAGACACCTATTAGTGTAAGAAAAACATAGTGAAGGGTATTTTGCATAATATGTGACCTTTAATATTATTTATTTCAGTATGATATATATTGGTTGCCCCATACAGTTGTCATGAATAAAAATAAATAAATCTAGAGACCTAGAGAGAGAAGTGCAGGTGTTGGCACATTAAGCAGAATAATACAGTAAAACAAAATATGCTTAGATATCCTTAGGATACTTTGACTTTTTTCACAAACTGTTGCTAGCTGTTAGCACCTTTAAATAGCCCTGGTTTTTTTTCTTGGACAGTTCGGCCAAGAACGACCACAACAGCCTCTCCATCCACCACCACCACTACACCTCCCACCACAACCACTAAAACAAGCCCAACAGCAACTAGCACAACAACTCCCCCTCCCACCGCGACTTCCCCTACGACCACCGCCTCAAGCACGACCACCGCCTCTCCTGCCACGACGCTCAGGCCCACATCCAGACGTCTGACGACCCCGGCCCCTCCTCAGACGCCCAGGAGAACCTCTACGGAGCATCCTCGGACTCGCTCATCCACGAGTACAGAGACGACCACTTTCAAAAGTCAGAGCTCCACTTCCACGCACACACCCCTGCTGGGCCCAGTGGCACCCAATCAGAGAGAGAGCAACGGCAACCTCTCCCACAGAGGTAAGGGTCATGGGGAGCGGGGTTTGTGCATAGGAAAGAGAGTTTGTGTGAAGTGAGTGTTTAGCAAGCCGCATGTGTTCTTCCGCGAGTTATAACCACCTGTCATTATTGCAGCAGGGAGCTGAAAACCACTACTTACATCAATTCTGCTCCTCTCTGTGGATCCTCTCTTTCTTTGTCTGACCATCTGTCTTTCCACTGTCCTCTTTCCTTCGCTGCTTTTCTCTCTTTTCCAAACACACACACACACTTACACTCACTCTCTGGCTTGTGTGTCTCTCGGTTTGCTTGCACTTGGTCCCTCATGAGCAGCGTGTAACAAAGCTGTCGAGCTAACAAATGACAGTCCTCTCGATTCTCACCTGCCACCCCTCATCACTCATCCTCACTTTCTGACAGCCTTTCTTACTCTCTTTGTCTTCCTCTCTCTCTCTCTCTCGCCCTGTTTTCTCTCAAACTGGCAGCATTTTTCCGTCCTCGCACCAATCAAGCTTTACTGGCGCAGAAGAAAAATACTGCTTTACAGTTTGTTGCCCAGACAAGCAATGACAGCAGAATATAACAGCAGTAACAATGGTTTTCAAAGCCACGCTAAGACTCAAATTGTATTTGACAGCGTACTACAATCCTTGATAGTACGGCAAAGTAGAAATTGATAAACCACTGTGTTGCACACCACATGCTGTGGTGTTATTTTGTTGCAGAAATCAGTGTTTTCAGCTCTCCCCTTGAATCTTTGTGGCCTTTGCTACACAGACATTAACAAGAGATAGTTGTAGCTGTCAAACTGCCAAGGCAGCTATTGCTCCTCAAGCCATGTTTTCTTTAAAGGAGATGAAGGCTAACACATTCAAACAGGTTACTTTTTATCCTTTTTATCTCTTTATTATGTCTGGTCTATTGCATGCTTACTTCACTGCCCCTGCATCATCCTTTTCAGAACAAAGTAGGAAGCCACAACTTAAACATACAGATTGTTTCAGATACACATACAAGTACACATGTACTGTGCTGGACTGTTTATTAGTATCGGCAGTTCCTCCAGGACAGCCTAAACCTGTTTTCAGGTATCAGCCAGTATGATAGTAACGCACCAACCCCATACCAATGATCGAAAGTATCCAAAAGTACCAAAACCTTTTTTTTAAACGGCGATCTTCAGTTCTGTTTCAACCAAAAGCTGCAGCAACTGAAAGAGAGAGAGAGAGAGCACTGTTGTAAATGCACAAATATTATGGCAACGTTTGAAACATTAGTCTCTCTCTCTGTTTGGAAATTTAAAACAAAAAATTATCCAATACTGGGCGCCTTGGACTTGCATCAACTTTAGTTTCTAACACCATTTGACGGAAACAGGACGTCAGAAGTGGATGCAATCAGCACCCTTCTAAGATGTGAACTTTTGCTACTTATAAGCTTAGCTTGTTTTTAAAGGAAGAATCTGCAACGTTTTGATGCAGTAGATGTCGCCCACGAGCACCAGCATGAAACCAAAACAAACTGCTGTTTGACGACACCTCCTCCATACTTAAAGCCTCCGCTCTCCTCCAGCAACATACTTCAAACACCCCACACCACAGTTTAGCGCAAGCAGTGTGCCATATTGTCCTTTGCTCTAGCTGCAATTGTCTGTGGCCTGCATTGATGTGTTAGCAGGCTAATGTTAGCACACTTCAGTTAGCTAATTGCTTCACATTGCATGTAAATTGATACTCAATGACCGTGGCTTAAAAACGCTTATGTGACATCAAAATAAGCAGTGAGTATGTTCTTCTTCTTCTTCTCTCTAGTCCTTGACTAAAACAGCTTTATACAGAAGGAGAGGAGTCGGCCGGCCGTCCATGTAAACCTGATGTAAACATGGCTTCGACAACAACACAGTCAGCATATTTCTGCTATATTAATTTCTGTAAAATGTTGCACATTCTTTTCTTCATTCTTTAATTGTGTCACTTTTTTGGGAGAAAGATTTCTGCAGTGTTCTAAGTGAGGCCATAGTAGACATCATATCACATCAATACAGGGTTAGAAATTCAATCTACAACTCTGAAATAATATTCATTTTATTGTGCTAATATCAAAAACTTACTAATTTTTAAGTCTTGCTTTCTTCATATGATTTAAGAAAAGAAAAAAAAAACAGTTTTGGGCACTTTTTTTAAAATCATGCATTATTCATTACGCTCGTTACACATTTTAGAAAAAGCATGAGGTCATTTCTTACACTTTAATGACACAGCCTTCTGCTTCAAAGTTAATAAAATATGAACAGAAGAAACTGAGTGAAGCAATAAAGTGGTCAGCAAGTGAGAACGTTTGCAAGCTGTTGTACCGCGTTTGAACTCTGATTTTACAATATTGCATTTACATCACAGACATTTTTCTTGTTAAATTGAGAAAGCGGGGGAAGAAGGACTGAGGTTGCAGGAGCCATGCAGCGGAAAATGAGAAAGAGTGGATGATGAAATAGGGTGTGAAAGTTGAAGGAATCGGAGACATAGGGAGGGCACGGGCAATGAGTGAGATGAAAGGCGAGGAGTAAAACTAAAGGTTGTTAAATTAAAACGACAGTGAGAGACAATAACGAGGAAAAAAAACAATGAACAGGGCACAAAAGGAATCATGACATTTTGCCATATGAGCAGGGAGGTGGGGAGTTATGAAGTGTAACACTTTTGGGGGGAAAACTGAATTTACTGGGATGAGAAAGGAGGGGGTGAAAAAAAAAAAGGGAAGGAGAGAAAGTGATTTTCTGGGAATTATAAAGAATGGCTGCTACAGCTCGTCTCATCACTGTGGGGGCTGAAGGTGTTTTTTTTCCAGAGTTACTAAGATGCAAGAACATGTTTCCTCTGGTCTCTGAAGTTGTCAGCCTCCTCACTGCAACCGCAAGTGCTCCAGATGAGAGGTGGAGCAGATGCAGATGAGAAAATGGGGCACGAACAAGACGCGTCTCCAAACCCACGGGCCATGTGTTATGATTTTCAACTCAGTGCACACTGTCAGGTTTTGCCGGCATCAGCTGTTACCCGTGGTGCCGCGCCGTGGCTGGCATGGTGGAGCGAGGAAGAGCCAGGAGTTTCAGGAATAAAAGATAAACCACAGCTGGTACACAAAGCTCGTACATCCAGGCTCTTAAGAAGTGGAAACCTTCGCTCTGGAAAGCAGAAATTATTAATCGATGTTTCCGCAACTTTGGACAGCGCCAGAAAACGCTGTTCTCGCCTTTACGGGGTCAGGACAGTCAGTCTTAAAACTATAATCAAGGGCCCGTATGAACATTGTAAAAAGTTTGGGCCTTAAGCTAATATGAGGATTCAGCAGTCTGAGTAACACAAATAAGGTTAGTGCTTTTAGAAATAAAAAAAAATCCCCTGGGATTGTTTTTAAGCATGAACACACAGACTGAAGAAACAAAGAGCTGGATTTTTGCTACAAAAAGAAACTCTGGAAGATATGTACTTAATTTGATGGACTCAAACTGCTTAATCATGATTGGAATATTGCAGACCAAAGTTTTTTCTAGGTTTGCAAAGTCCGTTGGTCCTCCTTCAACCGTTCTCTTTCAATGACACTCCGCCATTATGCCTCTAAAATCAGCGTCCCTGAGTGGGCGGGGCCATCTTTCTTCCTCCACATGGTGGCGGGGCGAACAGTTGGGCAAGGAGGAGGTTCACGCTGGGAAAAAAAAGGTTTGAAACATGTCTGAGCCTCTGAAACATAAACAAGCTGAAGGAAGCGCCATCCCGTCAGTGTGAACACAGAGGTGAGAACAACAAACCCAGAGGGAGTTTGACTTCACTCTTTTTAGAAAGTCATTACTCAACAGTTTATTTAGTTAGAAAATAATTTAAAATATGCTATGTTAATGTTTAAAATGTTGCATATTATACCTTTAAAGACCTGGGAAAAAGAACGGCTTTGGACACTGTTTCTTCAGTGACAGCCTCATACCAACAAATAACAAAACAAAGGCACACTGGCATCACATTTAAGGCTTCTACAAGTCTTTGTTTGCTTTCCAAACATAGTAAAATATACTGTAGTTAAACTATACATAATGATATGTCTGTATTAACAGGAGCCAAGAATGGGGCTATAAATAGCATAGGTTTTCATGGATACAGACATTAACAAATGATTTGAGCTTAAAATTCCTCCAGCATTAATACTATTAATGAATTAAACTAATTTTCCTCCTCTTTCTTCTCTTTCTCTTCTTTGTCGCCCTTTTCGAGGACTGCTTCTTTCATGCTGCTTTAATAAGATTCTATTAATCCGCCTTTTAGAGTCTTAGCACCCATTGGACATCACTCATACTTATGCACTTCTGCTGACTCAGGACTCAGAGGCTTCACTGCTCAGTCTGAGGTCCGGTCACCTGCTGTGCCTCTTTATGTTACAGTGTGCATATTAAGTGAGAGTGTGGAAGTGTGTGTGCACTTATTGAAAGGCTTTTCACCCCTCCCCCCCCCCTGTTATTATGGCATTTATGAGCAAAAATATGTGTTAATGTTCCAGCCCCAATCCTTCAACTCCCATCTGTGCCTTCTGCAGACGTACGGCTCACGCAGCTCTCCTTCCAGGATGAGCCAATCAGTATGCAGGACCAGCCCTGTGCTCTCTTCTGTTAATCTTCCTCACTACACTTCATTAAAGCCATCTGATCACACTTTGGCTAAATGCTAGCCTGCTGCTAATGGGAGTTTTGGGAGCGGGATTCATGTCAAGCTCAAAAAACAAACTATTAGGGTTAAGGTTGACGGGGAGGGGGCATGGAATAAAAGAATCCTGCATGTCATTATGGCTCAAACAATGGCTTTTAAATTGATACAAAGTCATGTTTTCAAGTTCACTCTTAAGGTTTTCCAAAGCAACAACCATTTGTCAAACTTATAGAAAGATATTTTTCTTGCTGAAACAAAATTTGCTTTTCAGTTATATTTGTGATGCATTACTTCCTGGATTTGCATTCGTCTCCTTTTGGATTAAAAGCGATCTCATTGCTTTTTATAGCATCCTGGTATGATTCACATTAACATACACTGTAAAAAAATAAAAAAATAAAAGGCAGCAGCCCAAAGTGAAATCAGATGGGGTTCTTTCTTCTCCCCTTACGTTATGCAAATATTTTCCCCAGCATATGGTGCTTTAAAGTTGTTTTTCTCTCTCGTAGTAAAGGTCTTACGGGATGGTGTTTTGGATCCAAACTTTTTTTGCTCATTTTTTTATTTTCCTTTCTCTGTCTCTGTTCTTCTCAGCTGCGAGTGATCACTACCTCATAGGTAACAACATCACAGTAGCTGTTCTGGGGATAGTCATTCCTATCGGTGAGTACTCTTTACTTTCCGCTGTGTTTTGCCTTTTTTTGCTTTCTGTCCGCCTGCTTCTCCCTTCTGGCTCGCTTGTCGCTCAAGTCCTGCATGCTATGTGTGCATCTGTGATTTCATGTGTCTGGCTCTGTGTGTGTGTGTGTGTGTGCGTATGTGAGTGTGAACTTGCATATATTTTCTAGTGTTTGTAATCCAACCAGACTGTTTATTATAGATGTAACACCTCCAATTTGTGTCTCTTGAACATGCATTTCCTGAATCAGCCTCAGCACTGACATTTGAGCACCAATAATAGTTGAGTAATTGAGAAAGCATAGTGAGCCATGGTATTATCCAACAAAAGCCTCCTGGCCTACGGCTAGAGAAAATCATTAAGGGCCAGTAAGCCGTCAGTCAGCGATGGCCAGGCCTCTGCTACTTGCACATTATGTCGTTATTAATGCGATTTGAGTAAATGGGAAATTCAGTTCCTGTTTTGTCATCACATTTGACCAGCTGTTGCGACACTATTAAGCTCTTGTTCCCACTCTGACGTTCATACAGTATTGCTCAGCTGAAATCAATGACCTATTTCTGTGACCCAGTGGACAAGAGAGCCGGTTACACAGTCACTGAAATCTTTTTATTTTCAGTTTGCAAAGGACTGAAAAAAAGCCTTAATGAGATAAAATTGTGTTTTTGGCTCGGAGAAGGGGAACTCTTGACCTCGGAAATAACATTATTGTTGGCATTTTATGGAGAAAAACAATGTAAGGCCGCCAAAATATTGCTTGTTACATTCAAATCAAACCAGCTTAAGAAAGTAAATCTAGTCTTCTAGCGTTGAATAAAATGGAAATCTAATTTAATGGATGTATTTAATGATAAAGCATACATTTGCAAATCCGCTGAATGTGCAAATGACCTCAACGTCGCAGCATATGTCGCTAATTGAGATCTCTTTCATCCCTAATATTGAAGACTTTGATAAATTATGGGAGCGCTAAAACGTCGTAAAGCCGTTTTTTTTCCTCCTCATTCCCCAAGATTGCGATATCAGCTCATTAAAACGACCCCTGAGACTGTTAACCCTTTCCTCTCAATCCCTCATTCTGTCCTTCTGCCATTCGTCATGGCCATGAATAAATCCCCCCATTCTGCATTTTAAGGCAGCTTTGAAACATCAATTATTGCTGGAGGTCCACCAGGGCTGGAATTTCTGCACCCCGCCCACCCTCCTCACATCCGGCTAATGCACCACGCCCACCCACGGCTCCACGAGGGGGGAAACAGCCCAACATGATTATCAGTATTTAGCCAAAGTCAGGCTGCTGTGTCGCTCTCTAATTGGAGTGAAAATGTTCTAAATGAGACAAAAGCTCGTGTTCTTTTTCAGACAGTATTCATTTAGAGGAGAACAAAGGAGGATGTGGGGTTTCCAGCCCAGTCACACAGGGGATCTCAAGTGCCGATCCAACAAAAGAGCAATTAGATGGTGTTTCCACAGGGGAGGAAGACACATCCACAGACACAAAAACACACCTCCGCACATGCATGTTTTATCTCTACTCATTGACACACTTCTGGTTTGGCCGTTGGTCTCACACACACATCGACACATCGACACACTGCATACACACGGGTCCGTCAGGGCATGCTCGGCCGTCGTGCTCATATGGTAATGAGAGGGGAGACCGAGCTTATCTAAAATCCTCCAATCCAATTCTCTCTCATCCTCTTCCCCTGTCCATTCCCCTCCCATAACCCCATCCAAAAAAAAATACCAGAGTCAGACAGACTGCAGACAGTGTTTGTTTTCACAGGCTGGTACACAATTAGGAATCATAGCCCAATAGTCCATCAGAGGAGGACAACAGGCCGATGACTAAAACTAAAATCTCTGGCCTCAGGACCTGAATGTTACAAGTTTCAGCAGAATAACCTACATGGTTCATCTGTTGTGTGTTTGTGTGTACATGTGTGCATGTGATTATATGTGTGTGTTTTTGATAAGCTGATTGAAATGTTTTAATGTTTGTGCATTATGCATTCATTGTTGCAAATTTGTGCATGTGCATTTACGTTTGTGTGATTTTGATCATTCTGTAAGATTGAGACTGAGGAAAAAAAACATGATTTATAATGTATGGATGCATATGAGGGCTCATTGTTTTCAGTTTTTACTTATTCTCAAATAATAAAAAAAAAAGGGGGGAACAGGAAACAATATTGATTTTAAATAACATGATACAAATATAGGGAATCCCATAGTTTATTGAGTAGCTGAGAGGGGACCAATGTTGACTCGTCATTTAAGAGATGCGGAAACAACTCCTATAATATATGGCATCTACATTATAGCACAATATTTAGTGTGTACTTGGAATCCTTGTATAAACTGTTTTCTTTCATTAGATCCCAATTTTTTTGCCCCCCTACATTCAAAGAATTAGCTAAATTGCCGACTAGAGTTTAGCTATGGCATATAATTTATCTTGAAGGGAGCACAGCTGAGCTTCTTCATCAATCAATCAGTATATCAGCCAATCAAATCACAAGTTAAGTCATTTTAAGGCACTTTAAAGGGAGAGCGGATTATATTATTTTTCGTGTTACCAATTTAAAAGAAAAATACCATCAAAAATGACCAATTATGTCAACAAAGATGTTTCTGTGGTACGACCTTTTTTAAATTATTTGTATTCATGTTTAAAGCATAACGAGCACCAAAGGATTCTCTGGACATTAAGCGTTTCCTGTGTCCACCATTTTTCTGCTCGTTTTAATTCACTTGCTCCACTGATGTGTCTCGCAGGTATAAATTGATTTAAACGGTTCTGAAATAATGAGCCCTCAGTACATGTGTGAGCGTGTGTGTGTGTGTGTGAGTGCTTAAAGCGCCGCTATGTGTCCCCTGGGCTGTGTTAACGCTCCCGCCGTGTGTTGTTGTTGTGTGTGTGTTAAACACATGCAGTCCCTATCCTTGCCACAGTGGTCATCGGATTGCTCTGCACCGGCGGCTACCTGGTGTGGCGCAACTGGAGGCGCAAGAACACCAAGAGCATGAACTTCGACAACCCCGTTTACCGCAAGACCACGGAGGACGACGACGACGAGATCCACATCGGGCGGCACAGCGAGTCCATCGGCCACGTGTACCCAGCAGTGAGTGGCAGCCACAGTCAGCCGTTCATAGCGCTGCCTCTAGGGGGCGGCGTCACAGACAGCAACTCTCACTGGTACTCAGGGGCGCCGATGCTGTCCAGCGGCAAATGAGAGCAGCTGGGGAAAAAAGTTGTGATGAAGGGATCATACACGGGAGGGGGGGGGAGGGGGAGTTTGGAAATGCCCGTTTGTTGTTCAATGTCTGCCTGGTGGAAAGAAAGAACAGGCTTAAACACGCACACGCCCACATTCTCACACATTTGAATTCAAACACCAATCATGACACACACATGAGCCCTTCACCTGTACTTCACAAACACATTGTTTCACCTTCATGACCATTATCATACAGTACTTATGGTTATCCTTGTTGTCAACCTGCCATGCCATTTATTTGTACATTCTGTTGGTTTTTCAGGTTGTAGAAGTGTTTGTGTGTTACTTGGGAGACGTACCCCCCCCCCCCACACACTTCCTTATGACACTCCTTACTCAGATCATCTTTGTCACCGAGAGCCGCCGAGGCAATGGTTGTTTAGCAGCCTCAAATATGTACCACAGGGTAGCATTTTTTTCTTTGGAGAGGTATTTTGTGGTTGTTTCTTAAATACAATTCTTCTTGGCAAGGATGAAGGTTGGTAGGACATGTGACGGGGGCTGAGGCGTAAATAATAACTGCTGTCTTGTTGCAGTAAATATGAAAAAAAGAGGTGCATGATGGGTCTGTTTATTGGTAGAAGAAAAGACTAAACAAGAGATGTGCTTAAGGACGAAGAGCTTTACTGTCACTTCAGAAAGTTGACTTAATGGACAGCAGGGCAGAGAAGGAGACACTTTTGTTTTAGCGTTTTGATTATGAGAATTTAGAGTATCATCCTGATGTTGATTTTAGATGTATTTTTTCTGTTTTTGTTTGTTTTTCATATAAGGCATGACGGTATAAAAAAGGGAGCGCATATCAGAACTGATGACAGTCCAAAATTAAATTATTCATATTTTGTTTCAAGTGCAGAAACCAAAAATCTGTTGATTTCCCTTTGAAGCAGATTGAAACGTAGAAACTGTTCATGAAGCTGCATTTTCCCTCTGACTTCGAAAACAATGCCAGCGATTGATTTGTACTTCAACGCATCGCAGAGTGTGTCATCTTTCTTGTGACATGTATTGAATATATTTGTTGTTTAAGGTATCGGAAAGCGAGGGCAGCCTAAAAAGGATTATAGCTTGATAGGGGGGGGGGGAGTGGGGAGTGGGAGTCTAGCGCTTTGATCGGTTGGCATGGAAACACAGATTTCTTTGTGTTGCTCCAGAGAGAAAAAGAGGCAAGGAATTCTGGGTATCATTGGCATGGTGACAGTCTGGAGACGCACACATTTAAACACACACACACACACACACACACACACACACACACACACACGTGCACGCACATGAAACAGGTGCACGACTAAGTCATATTAAGATTCAAGGTCGAATTAGCTGCCACCCTCAGTGAAGGGCTGCTGCAAGGGAACTCTACTCCCTCGCTCGTGTCTTGCAGGTTTATTATCTATAGCGTCTCTTTTATTGTCTGTCTTTTTCTTTCCTCTTGTCTTCTCCTCCTCTTTTCTTTCCTATCCTCTTCATCATGTTCTCGTCATATTTTTTTTTCATGGCAACGTGGCAACTTAGACAGCCAGGGAAATCAGGCTGGCATTATGTGGGCCAGACATTTAAAGCCGTAGGCAAGCATCCTGCATTCCTCGCGTATAGGCAGCCAGAAAACAAGGGAAAGAACAAGAATGGGGGTTAGAAAGAGGATACAAGGAAGGTCAGGGGAAAAAAGGAAGAGGATGGATGAATGTATCTTATGGGTGCCATCTAGGCTCAAATCTTCTTCTGGTTTCCGCCTTTGTTCTCTTTCTACCTCACTGTTTTTTTTCTTTCTCTCTCTCTCTCTCTCTCTCTCTCTCCTTCACCAGCCTTCTGTGGTAACAGTCTTTTTATCTGCTGTTTGCAGCGCGTGGCACTCAGTCTGGAGGATGATGGCTATCCCTGAGGGGGGGGGGGGATGTATCCATCGCCGCCCTCCCTACGTCCTCTCCTTCCCAATCCCATCCTGGCCCCTCCTCCTCTCACCACAGCCTCTACAGCACTACAACAAGGCCGGTACAACGCAGAGGAGAAAGACAAGCCTTCTTCCCTTTTTTTAAGGCGCAGGGATGGCATGTACTTCTTATGCCCCCTTGCTTCCTCCTCTTCTTCCTCGACATTACTACCACTACTAGCCACTTCTAGTTCCCCTAGTTCTAGTGAATTTGTTGTCCCTGCTTTTGCTCCCCTCTTCTCTCTCTGCCTCTTGTTGTAGCTGTAGTGGTGTGTGAATTGCTGCTTCATGATTTCTGTTCAAACTAACCTCATTACGGCTGCACATTGAAGGCTGTCAGGCCAACACAAGGGGAAATGCTGGATTTGATCATTTTCAATCCCTCATAATATGACTTTTTATTTATTTGTGTGCGTTTGCTATCATAAGTATGTCGTAAAAGTCTCTCAGTGCCGTACAAAAGGCAGACTTCTTCCCAAGGATACACAGTGGCAAAGGACGATATTTTTCTTCCTAGTTCCCTTTACATCTTGAGTTGACTCAACAGATATTTTAAAGGGGGGGGGATGTCATCCTTTTTCACGCCCTTCCTCTCATATGCGCCCCGTGACATATTGTATGAAGGCAGGCAACACTAAATATAGCCAAGGGGAAAGTAGACAGGAAGAAATTATGGGGTTGGCAGCATGTGTGGAGGTGATTTTGGGGTGAAAAAGTGATGCAGGATGTGTGTGTGTGTGTGTGTGTGTGTGTGTGTGTGTGTGTGTGTGTGTGTGTGTTTGTTTGTGTGGGGGAATAGGAGGATTTGTGCCACCAGAGGGTAGTGCCTCAGGGCAAAAAGCAGCAGTGCAGAAAAGACAAGGGATTATGGGTAATCCTCTCTCCTGGTGTCAGAGGTGTGCCCACAGTCGATAATGAACTTTGGATTGTTTATTTGCAGCAGGTGTCAGGAGTCACACATTTGTTCCTAGTTCTTTGATGCTGCCATTAATATTTAGGAGATGGAGCTCCAGAGTGTAACAAAGCATCTTCCTGAGATATGAAAATGCCCTTTTGAGTTCCTGAATTTGGAAACTTTCACTGCTGCCAAACAGAGTTGTTAGGTTTGTTTAACCAGTCACCCTACAACCATTGATTTCAGCAGCTTCACAGTACTACTCTGTGGGTTCCATTCCAAAACAAATGTCTTTTTTTTTTTAGCCCCACTTAAATCATGGCTGTGTGTTCTCAAGAGGAGATGATGTGGAAAAGAGGAATCGCTTCCTGCTGTCACTGACTGTTCAGAGTGGATGTTAAGGGTCCTGTTTTGTTTGAGCAGATGAGAAATGCGCCGAGGCTGACTGAGCCGAGCACTGATTTGATTTGAAGGCTGGATAGAGAGGAAACATGTAAACTAGTGTAAGGAGCTATCTTCCATTGGCTTGCCACAAACAAGCTTCCAGCCCGTTTAATCAGATAGAATTCATTCCCTGAGACAATGGCAATAACTGCTTCAAATGTGTTAACCAAAAGTGAACATGGCTCTTCTAGCCTGGATGTTGTTAAAAGCCACATTTCCATCAAGAGTTACTCAGGACTATTATTCCCAGGAACTTCTTTCAGTGCCTTGAAAAGTTCCTTTAGCCCAAGTCCCTTTACTCTCATGAAGTGCTACCCCTTTCACCTTTGACTGTAAAATAAAGTTATTGGTACTTTATTTAGTCCCAGGGCTCTGTAGTGTAAACACACTCAGTACCTTACAATAAAGTCCCAGGTTCTCTGAGAAAGTTCCTGTGGTGGAAAGGCAGCTCTATTCTCAAGTAAACACATTTTAAAGCTCCTTTGAGGAGTTTAAAACTTGTGATAAAACAAGCTGAAAATAATTTTGGTGCCTCGTTTTGACCTATGAAAATAAATGAGGCCAGCAGCATACAGATTGGTTATTTCATTTATCTTATGAAACAGCCTCTGTGTTTACATTTATCACAGTAAATATTCTTGACAGGTAATGTATTTGAAAGCACGGAGGAATTTTTGTTAAAAAAACACTACTTATATATGTACAGGACCAAATCAGCAAAAAAAAAAAAAAAAAAAAGGTACCACATCCATAGGGGCGCCATAATCAACACAAACTTAAAGTTCCTCACAGGAGCTTTAAGGTGTGGAGATGTTATGTTTTCCAAACTATACATGCAACACTGGTCTTCCATGCTTGGATAAACACATCTGAATAATTTTGCATTTCAGCTGAGCTCAACTAAAAAGTGCTTCTGTTTGTAAAATCCTCACTCTTCTCACACCTCTGATACGCGAGGAAAAAACTAGCAAAGAAACTCACAGAATGCAAACATTTAAGTCTTCCAACACACACTCAATGTAGACTCAGCATATGTCTTCATCTTATTATACAGACAGTCTGTGCATACAAACAAACAGCTGATTAATGGCGCTTATTATTCATGGTTCTCACTGTCTCCCAGAAAGGTTTACTCAGCGTAGATGCTCCGTTAACCCTCAGGGGAAGAGGAGAGACAAAGACAAAGGTAGGCAGGGAATGACTGCCAGGATTTAGACTACACCTGTGAGCAGGTTTGTGCCTGGGAGATGAATGGTGGGTCATTTATTTTGGTTTCTGCCGATGTTGTATCGCAGTACTCAGTACATTCTCAGCTCAACTTCCTCAAAAAGAACGCCCCCTCCCCCTCTGAGCTTTGCACAGTACGGGGATTTGTATGTCATATATGTGAGAGCTGGCATCTTAGGCACGAAAATGATATTCCTCCCCAGCACTGCACTCCTCTGCATCTGAGCCCTTTTCCCTTTAACCTTTCAGAGATGAAACAAAATAAAAAGCATTACACAGTGGGGAAGACCGTGACTCAGCTCAGCATGATCCTAGACTCGCTTGACAGCACCCTGCAGGGTCTGTGTTTTTTGGCAGAATTTGGGTATGAAAATGTATAAATTGACACAGCTACAATTTGGTCTCTACAGTGATCTTCTTTTTTAATATCAACCCAGCGGTATGATGACTATGTAAATTGATTTTTATTTCTTGATCAACTTAAATCAAAGTCCTAAAAGAAAGATGAAAATGATGTAAGATGCTGAAAAGAGATGCCCCAGGTCAGATGTCTTTGTGAATTTTCGATGAAAGAAATCCCAAACACACAGTCAGTTCTGCACTCTGCAGAACTCTGCACTTCCTTCATGCCCACATTTGCTGGTGGAGCTCCATAGTCAGAGTTTGAGAATAAATTGCTTATTTATTGAGGTGACTGAGCGTGGCATTGTAGAAAAGTTATTATTGCTGCAGTGTGAAGACAGATTGGCTGGTCCACTTCGAGGCCACCTTGAGAGAAGCTGCTTCTGCTGAAGGACTTTAAAAAGTCCAGAAAGGGACTTTTGACATTCATCCTATAGAAGGAGAAATTTAGACATCCCTATTCCATATATTTATGTAGGCTACCGCTAAGGAGCTAATACGTGTGTGTATGTGTGTGTGGCTGTAAATGTACATCGCTCTTTAGTTTCTGTAATACTTGAAGTCTTTTAGTGTTGACCCAGTAACTGCTGCATTGTTGCACGTGCAACACAATATCTTGCACAAACTTATTTAACACTTAACCAGAAGTTTTACCATTAAAATGCAGACACTTTAGCTTGCTGTACTTTCTCACCTGGTTTTGCCAGTTTTTAAATAAAGGCAAATCCGATTTGAGAGGTGCTAACATTAAAGATCTGGAGGCAGTTGCACCAGCAGTTTGTTTAATCTAACTAAGATAGAGGTGACGGTGGAGAACAAATTATGTTTCATCCAAATTTTAAAGTGTACGTTTTTAAATTGAAAAAAAAAGAATGGTTATGAATATTTTCTTTGACTTGAGTCTTTCAGAGCTGAGCCTTTCCTTAAGTGTTAACATTTTAACTCAGTTAGGTAAACGTACCTAACTGATAGTGGACAACCTATTAGAGGACAACCCTAACCCTAAGGGGAGATCAGCGGGGAAATTAATAACATTTCTCAGAAACTATTTTGTACACACCAGAAACTATCCGGTAGGCATGAGAAGGTATTGCGTTCACACGTGATAGTTTCTGGTGCTAACGACAAAATATTGCATGCGCATATACTTTCGTCAAACTTCCTTGTGAGCATGAGAGACGCAACAGATACTTTCTGGTGTGCACCTGAATCTAATTTTCTGCCAATGTCTGGTTAGGGACTCTACCTTAAGTAGATTTGTGTTACTCGAGGTTTGGAGGAACTTTATATACAAACTTGCTGATGGATTAACAACAGTGTGTGCAACTTAAATCCTGGTTCCTGATAATATAGTACACTTCAGACTCATACACTGTACTGTACTCGTGACTATATTGCGTGAAGTCTTGATCGTGTAGTGATTTAACTCTTTGTTGAAATCATACACTCAGAAAGACAAATAGGTCTTTATTTGTGTCAGGCAGGTTTTATCACATTACGTCACCTCATGATAAGGTTATATGAGGTTTATTTTATGGGAAAGGTGTTACATTTGAGAAAACTCTAACAGCCATGATAACCCATTATTTAATCTAATTATTGTATGCTCTAATTATAGTGTTCCTGATTTGCGCTCCCTGTTTTTAACCGTCCTGTTGCTTGTCCTTCTCGTCCTCTCTTTACTCTGCTAGTAGTTGTCTCCAATCTGTGTTACCAGAGAGTCTGACCCATGCTGCTTTAACCATGACACACTGACATGTCTCTAACTCCATTCACATCTTCCCACTGCTTCACTTCCTCCAGCACTCCAAAGTCTGACTGTAGTTGTTGTACTACTGAATTTTAGCTTAACCAGCTCAGTCTCTTTCCCATATTCTCGCCTCTACATCTACATCTTCATCACGGACATCTTTTCTTTGGCAAGGGCTATCAGTTTGTGGGTAGACAGATGTAAAAACACTGGAACAGCGTGGCAAACAACACATTGAAGGACTTAACATGGGAGTCCCAAGAATGACGCCCCCAGAGCTGAAAATAAGAACTCCTTGTGAACCAGCGAACAGGAGGAGCATTCCCCCACAAAGACCATCAACAAGACCCCCCCATCCGGCTTCAGTTTTTGACTGTGGAAGAAGCCCTCATTGACTCTACCTGCCTGGAAAGGTTATCTCGTTGACCCACTGACTTTCCTTCAAAACCTGCTTCTTCTTATTATCATGTGTTTTTTGGACTGTTAGTCTGTGAGTTGTAGTTCTCTCTCTCTCTCTATCTCTATCTCTATCTCTCTCTCCTTACTGAACTGTTTTCAGTTTCATATTTGATCTTCTTGATGTTTGATTACTTGAAGGGCAGTGTTGAGTCGCCTACATTTTTCTACCAGTCATTGTTAAATGAAGGGTTGGGGGGGGGGGGGAGAAGACAGCTGTGGGGACATTGTGAAATTTTTAAATGGGTTTGGATGATGACATACATGGGCAATATTTTGATGAATAACATCATTGTCACAGATGTGGACACTTTACTACGGCAGTGATTAAAGTTGGAGAAAATCACCGCAAATATAACAAACTCTTAGCAGAAACGTCTACGTGCATTTGCTCATAGTGTTGCAGATGTGTCACCGCCTGCAAGGAAATCTCCAAACCCATCCGGGCCTCTGTCCATTCCACAGCCATACGACAGGCATTTTTTTACGCTGTTTGTTGCACAAAACTTTTCAAGAAGCCTTCTGCACTGTGTAAAGAGATACCGTTCTTAGGAGGGGGGAAATGAAAAGGGGGAGGGAGGGAGGGAGGGGGTCCAATGGTACAGTCCAGTGGTTTTGAATCGTGACTTGTAAATACCTTTTCATACAGCAAAAACTTTTTGATAATGTTTTAAATGTATCTGTAAAAAAAGATGTACATAAACCTCTGGGGTAAAAAGGAGTGTAGACTATATATGAATTTATTTGTACACAAGAGCACTGGATTTATTTACTACTTGATTGTAACTAAAAATTAATAATCTGCCAAAGTGTTTTCATTTTTTTTTCTTTCCTGTCCGTTCCATTTGTTTGTTTTCTTTTGCTTTTTAACAGCCTTGCAGATTTTTAGTGTTCATACTGTATTTAATTATGTTCAATAGGTTTTGTTGTTGTGTTTTTAAAAAACAAAAAGAAAGAGGAAAGAGGGGTTATAATTTTAATTTATTGGTGCCTTGTTTTGTGCTCCTGTAAACTTTTAGGCTACTCTTTCTGTTTTCTCTGTGTTGCGTGTCTGCGGGAGGGGGGGGGGGTCGTTAACTGGCGGGTTGGTACATGATGGGTGGGGGGGGGTTTCAAAATTTAGCTTCTTCTGTACTTACATGGATTATCTGTACTGTATGCCAAAATGGTCTCACTCACGTTTCTATGAAATCAACCTGTTGATAAATATCTCTATATATTGATATATTAAATTTATAAAAACTGTCCAACCTTTAGAGTTGATTCCTTTATTCCTTTTTCCCCCCTTGTGTTGCTACCTTCATGTGTTATTTTCACCAAGTAAAGATGGATCTTAAACTTCATCTTCAATTTAACCTGTATCCTTCCAAAAGAGGAAATGTGTCTCCAGTCGGTCAGGTAATAGGATATTGAGACATGCGCTCAATTACTAAGTTACAAAACATTCTAAATATATATAAACACACATAGACCTATAGAAGTCAAATGACATCTTGTCGATTAAATTAAACCTTAGATTAAATTTTCAGAAATCACAGTAGAGAATAAGAACCTACTCAAAAAGAGAACTAAAGCCCCTGATAACAAGTCAACAAAAGCCTTCAAACTATTTAATTTAGAGATTTGGAGTAGAGATTGCAGATTTTGACTCGCTACTGTGCCATTTGTCAAATCTTTTGGCTGCATTAACTTCATGCAAAGCCTACAAAAGAAACAAAGAATCACAGAATGCAACATCTTCAGTATGAAAATAAAAGATATCCCACACCAAACTTAATCAGGAACGTAAAAACACACACAGATAGGTCAGTCAAGTTAGCAAACATGTATAGCTTAGCTGCATCAGCTAGGTTATGTAGCGTAATTCATTTATTAAGATATTAAATCCTAATTATTCCTCGGGGCACCACCTTTAAAAATAAGGAAATTAATATTACTTGTAGTAATTAATTAATCAATCAATTTCATATCTGAAGAGTAAGTTCCTGAGATGTTTAAACCAGAAAACATACAGACAAAGCTCTGAATTTTATGTGTAAAATTTATTATAGAAATGGTAAAACAATAAGGTATATAGATGAAACAGATAAAGAATATGATTCTTATGATCAGGATAATGCAATTATAACGTACTGTATATGACATTATAATATGATATCTTGAATTCTAGTTCTTAATTCGTATGGTTAAATGTACATGTTTAGCAACGATATTAGACGCGGTACGGTTTTTGAATGACTTAATCAGCAAATGGGCTCTGAATAGACACGACCAATCTGATCTCTCAACACCAAACGCTCTTTCTGTGAGATGCGTTCAGATGAACTACGCCGATGGTCGTGTTCAGTCTCCGACAAGTGGTTCTTTTCAGGTTTAGCCTACCAGAGAGGTCAATGGGCCAGATCAACTGCCGCAGCAGCTGGGTCGGAGCATGAAGCTAGGATGAAGAGGGCAAGGCTGTTCAACCATCATGGTCGCATCGTCTCAGCAGCTCCAAGTGGATCGAACCGGAAAAAAGAGTCTTTTGATGCGTTGATTTCCAATTTAAATTAACCTGATGGCCATCTCGATGAATCTAAATTAAGAAATTGTCGTTCAAAATTGATGAGCAAAGACTTTGGAAAAGAAAGAGTTAAAAAGGCCTTGCTTTAGCCAAAAAGAATTGAAGTTTCAAAATGTGTGTGGGAAGTTAGAAAAGTTCAGCATGAATTGTTCCTACGGCACGATAGTTTAAAAGTTGTTTAAAAGTTAAAAAGAAAACTGAAGTGATTTGAAGTGAGCTGAACTCTTATCAGCTCCTCCGAGAGAGGGGGAACGAAAGGTTACTCCCACTCCGACTGGTGGACATTGTTTTAATTAAACCGAGTTTACTCAATAAGATTAAGAATGAGAATCTAAACATATATACGTCACCATACATTCATTTCAATATTATGTCTATCAGATTCACATTAATGTAGGTCACATCATATATTTAGAAATACATTTCTATCACATTCAGATTGAGATGAAAATCACACCATCTGGAAACATCATCAGTTAATCCCAGCCTGTATGTTAACAATACAATGTTATACTTGTCTTAATAAGACATATTAATAATGTATGGAAATAAATTGGTGTCTTTAAATAACACCTTCTGTTACAAAGTATGATTATAACACCTCTAAATATATCATTATGAAGCTTAAGCATTCATGGAAACTCTAACAATATTGGCAATATTGCTCCACGTCAAATTCCTAATAAGGAATTAAACATTGGTCGAAAGTTTGTTAAGGCCAGTGA